AATTTTCCTTCCACTTTATTCAAAATTCTAAGACAGATTCTATTACTTTTATGGACAGAAAAAACACAATCTTATTTTTGGTGTTAAATATAATGCTGATGTAACTTACTAAGAATGTGTTACCTGCCTTCTCATGTGCACAAGGTTGCTCTGTTTGTGTTTATTTATGTAAAAACTGAATTAGCCAAACAATGTCTTTGAGGTTTGTGTGAGATTAAGGTGAGTTTTAGGCAGTTTTTATAGTGCCAATTGCTGTGCTATTAGCTTCCATTACTTGTTAGCTAAATTAGCCGCACAGCTCCAGTGCAATACTAAAAAAGGAAACTTCAGATGCCATCAGCGATCAACTGCCTTTGCGTTCAGGGGAAAAAGTGGGTACATTAACTTTTTGGTCAAATTATCACTTTAAGCAGTTTTGCACTTACAATGATTCAATCCATCTTAAATGAATAATATAAGAAAATAAGATACTTAAAATAAGATACTGTTTCATTCACTATTTGTCCCAAGAAGCTGACGTGATATCGCTGGATGCTCAGAGGACTTCATCATTTCAGAGTTTTTTTAAAAAGGCTGTTGTGCCATGTGCCGCTCACAGTGCTTGCATCTATATATATATATATATATATATATATATATATATATATATATGTTAAAAATAGTACAAAGACAACATATCAAAACGTTGTAACATGATTGAGTAAAGATGAGCCCTGTTCACCACTCTGTGAAAAACTGCCTGAGCGAATAGTGCAACAATACAAGAATAGCATTTCTCAACATAAAATAGCAAAGAACTTTTGCTTTTCATCATCTATGGTACATAATAACATTAAAAGATTCAGAGAATCTGGAGAAATCTCTTTATGCAAGGGACAAGGCCAAAAACCAGTATTTGCTGGCCATGATCTTTGGGCCCTCAGACGGCACTGCATTAAAAACAGACATTATTCTGTAGTGGAAATCACTGCATGGGCTCAGAAACACTTCCGAAAACCACTGTCTGTGAAAACAATTCATCACTGCATCCACAAATGCAGGATAAAACTCTAAAACACAAAGAAGAAACCGTACACAAACAGGATCCAGAAATGCTGCCACCTTTTGTGGAAGTGTCCTGTGGTCCAACGAATCAACATTTGAAATTCTTTTTGGAACAATCACGGACACTGTGTCCTCTGGGATAATGTGCAGTGTCCGTTGTCCCTACTGACTGATGATTTAAAAATTTCAGAGCCACCTAAAAATGTTTTAGGTTATGTTAGGGACTTTTAAATGTTAAAAGACTATTGGCAGGTTCCTTTATCAAATATAGCTCAAGATGTTTCGGCTTTCATTACACCATTTGGTCTATATTCTAACAGGTTTATGAGTTTTGGATTGCGAATTGCTCCTGCTACATTTCAGCGTCTAATGAATTATGTTGTTTCTGGTATAGGGGGTTGTGCTGTATATTTGGATGATGTGGTGTTTTGTGACACCTGGGATGCCCACCTTCTCCATATAAAGGCACTGTTTGATCATTTTGTCAAAGCTACACCTGGTTAAATGTGAGTTTGCCAAGGCTACAGTAACTTATTTGGGTATGGCTGTGGGGCAGAGATAGATGCGTCTGTTGCGGTCTAAAGCGAAGACTATTGATCAGTTTCCCCCTCCCTCCACCAAGAAGGACTTGATGCATTTTCTTGGTATGGTTGGGTACTATCATGCTTTCTGCAAGAATCGTTCTGTAGTGTCAGCGCCCCTTACTAACTTGTTGCGACAGCAAGTTAAGTATGACTGGACTCCATCTTGTCAGTGAGCTTTTGAGGAGTTGAAGTCACTCCTTCAGTCAGAAACATTTGAGGTCTATGTGCGTTCTGGTCGTCCCCTGGCAGTGTATACAGATCGCAATATTCTTACTTTTCTGCATTCTTTATAGGACCCAAACCAGCAGGTGATGAGGTGGTGTCTGTTTTTGCAGGGGTACCACTTGGACATCCGGCATATTAAGAATACTGATAATATAATTGCTGATGCCTTGTCACGTGGCCCTAATAGCGAATAACTAAATTTTGGTTGCTGTTGTCTTTGTCCAGTGTTTCCTCTTTGTCTTCTGCTACCTTTTCCCTTTAGTTTCTGCCTTAAAATTGCTTCCTATGCACCAAGGTTGCTGGGGAGGCTGAGTGGTTCAGGATGTAGCGACAGGGACATGACGCTGTGTGATCAGAGCTGTTGGACCCGTTCTTCTTGTTGTCCTGTTTTTGTTTTTTTGGTTTGTTTTTGTTTTTTTGAGGGGGGGTGTGTGACGGGCCTGTGCCATTACAGGTGGAGCTGTAGTGGGTGGGGCTGAAGGCCTCATCAAGAACACTACTTACACCTAAGTGGTGTGCTTGTGGCAGGAGCTCCTCTTTTGTGTTTTGTTTCTGTGTCCCAGGCAGTTTGGTTTTTTGGGCCAGTTTTCTTTTGTTCTTTTGGGCATTATGCTTCAGTTTATTTGTTTATTGTGGAGTTATTTTGGCCTACAGTTTTTGTCCTTGAGATTTCTGCACCAGATCCTTAAGTTTATTTCTTATTAAATAATTTGTTTAATTTATTCACTGTGTGCTTCCCTTTTACTTGTCATGATGTTGAGTCAGTCATGACACATTTTACTTCCAAAACTACAGCAATCAGTTCCCAAATGCTTAGAGTGCTGTTAAAGAAGAGGTGATGAAACACAGTGGTAAACATGCCCCATCCCAACTTTTTTGGAATGCATTTTTGGCATTAAATTCAAAATGAGCATATATTTTTCAAAAAACAATAACAACAAAAACAAATAAAAATTGTGTATACGTACCTGAATAAGCAAATGTAGTTACCACAGCATATTCTAGTGTGATTGCTGATTGTTTAATGCATCTTTGGAGGTTCTCTGTAAGATAACAAGCCCACAGTTTGAACCTGAATATACTTATCAGGCTATCATACACTGCCCTGGTTAATGTTTTCACAGTCTTCACATTTAAAAGTGGCACATTTTATCAGGGAAATTAGTTTTTTTTTAGTATACTCCTTTGCCCTTCCTCAAAAACACAGCAATAAATAATACTAACAGCCTACTTTTTGTGAAAGATTGAAATTTCATAAAATGGATTATAGTAAATTCTCTATGTTGTTCATGTTTTGTTTCTTTAAATTAACTTTCCTTAACTTTCCACAATTCCATATTTCTCAGTAAAACATACCTTTAAATGTATCCAAATATGGAGCAATCCAAAACAGGAAGAGAATCCTTAGCAGGTTAAGGGTCGAGCAAGTAGCAGCTTCAGTGAAGAACCCTGTGACAAAATAATTAGTTTGAATAACAATAAAATATAGAGAGGTAAAAACTACTTGAACAGATGCAAAGATTCAGAAACCTTGGTCAAATTACCTGTTTTGTTAATTTTATAGAAGCTAATTTCAGCCTTGTTTCAGAAAGTGAGAACGTTGGCTGAAAGTGAGGCTGGACACAGAGTTTCCAATTGATGCCATGCAGGGATATCTTCTACAAATTGAGGATAGAAAATTAAGCTAGATAAAAGCCATTGCTAATGCTAGCTGAAGCTACATTCCCAAACAAAGCCCTCATCTGCTGTTTTCATCAGCTGGCTAACATGATCTAGTTAACTGTGACTCACACAAAACCAGCAATTTTTCTAATATTAATTTTAAATATGAATGGTACCGACATGGTGCAGCCAACTCAGCTACTGTGAGAAGGTGGTTGTGTGATGTACACATCGCTGAGTACTATTACAGTTACAGCTAAAAAAAATTGAGTACAGATAAAGTGGTACACAGCAATCTATTCAAATCTAGCTGTGTACATGTGAAGATTAATCTCTGTAGCCTATGAACAGCTACATCTGCGCAAATATCCTGCCCAAATTGAAAATGAAATGAAACACCTACATTTGCAATTTCATTTTTCACACAAGACATTTGTGACACAAATAAAAATACATTTTAAAAAGCTATTGTCATTTCATTTTAGTCATTATTCTGGTATTTCATGGCCATATCTAAAATGGAAAAGCTAACAGAGAAGAAAATGAAGAAAATCCAAGCTTCACTTTGGTTTTGCCTTTTCTTCATGAAATGCACAATACAGGTCAAAACTAAAATCAAAATCGAGTGTTTACATTGTTATTTCTTTTTCATAACATTAGGCTGCATATCTGACAAAATGAAAATGCAAAACGGATAAATCAACAACAAAGTGACAGTTTGCGGTTCAGTTTTCGCCGTGGATGCGCTTTAAATGTCAGAATAAAAAGGCAAACGCAAACGAACACAGGCGCCACCTGCTGGTCGTTTACTTTTCATTTCTCACTTTGCTTTTTTGTTTTCAAGTTAACCAACATGTAAATATATGTTAATTAACAGAAGGCGGGATATGGTGTACATTTTAAGACAAATTGATGAACTATTAAATGGAGCTCCCCCACTACATGTAGCACCTCAAAGAAAGAGCCAAGCTCCCATTCACACTGGCAAACATAATGACTCAGTAAATGCCCATGAATCAGATACAGCACCTTTGGCCTGCTTACTCTGTAATATACTGTTGTTTTTTCTTTGATAAGATAAAAGCACATTTTTATTTCTTCAGAAGACTGGTGATGTCTTTTATATTTTGTATATTTGGTATTTGGCTCTGAACACAAGCACAAAATCATATGACATAAAGTTATATGTAGAAGTTTGGGTATGCCTGACCAGCTTATCTATTTTAAGTGACCCTTATTAGTCCCACAACGGGAAAATTTCATCCCTGCATTTTAACCCATCCATGCAGTGAAACACCACATACACACTAGTGAATGCACACATACACTAGGGGGCAGTGAACACAGTTGCCCAGAGTGGTGGTCAGCCCTATTCGCAGCGCCCGGGGAGCAGTTGGGGGTTAGATGCCTTCACTTCAGTCATGTACTGTCAGCTCAAGGGATCAAACCGATGACCTTCCGGTCACAAGGCTGGTTCCCTAACCTCTAGCCCATGTCTGCCACAAGAGCATAAAAAGCCGAAGGTGGGGATCAAACTCTCAACCCCACTGTTGGTGAACCAATGCGCTGAACAGCGCGCCTCCAGAAAAATTTAGTTGATTTTTGAAATGCTTGAAAGAAGTAAACAACCTCTACACCAAATTATAAACTAAAAACTATTTGCATTGCTCTGCAAATGTTAATGCACAGTTACTTTATATTTGATGAACTTATAAAAAGAAAAAATCTTGACTGTGCAAAAGTTTGGACAACTGCCGAGTTGTAAAGTTTCAGAACTTTACTTGTTAGGCCTTAACTGACCTGTTAAAATTGGTTAGGTATGTCAAGAATTGTCACCAGGAACTCACTCAACAACCATGGGCTCTTCTAAGCAGTGGTCTGAGGAATGAGAAATGAAGCTAACTGATCCATATAAAGCAGAGGAGGGCTATAAAAAAGACATCAAAGTGCTTCCATCTACTAATTTCCATAGGCTGAAATGTCATTTAGAAATGGCAGCGAGCTGAAAACGCCTATGCTGGTTAAAAAAGGCCAATCAAAACAGCCAGCAAATGACCTGCAGGAAGGGGCAGAACATTGCATGGGGAAGATGGAAGAATGGATTCCACTAAATATCAGAAAATTCTGGAATTTGACTTCATCATTACACTCTAGAATTTAACCACAAAATTATATGACATACTGGAAGAAATTTTGGAGACTAAGCATATTTCCAGTTTATTCCAAACTATACATCTGACTCTAAAATAATTAAAATTAATCTCCATTGCTAAGATCACATGTGGTCATTATTCCACCTCACCTCAGTTCAAAGGATCAGAGTATTGTCATAATGTTACACAGTGGTTGAGGAAGTTTTTTTAAACATCTAATTTTTAAGGCATACTGGCATAGTTATTAAAATTACTGTAGCTATTATACAGTTACATAAAATGAATGAAAAATAACTGAAATATAAATTACGATACTTACCTTCAATGACACCCCAAAGAATAAAGGCAAGGCACATAGCAATGTTCGAACAACAGACAAGTGTGTACTGTGTAGCTAAGGCTCTTCTGCTGTAATCTACAGAGGAAACAAAGAATTCGTGTTTGAGTGTTTGATTTAATTTAAAGGCCCTGTCAACATGGTTTCAAATGTTTAAAGTTTTGTTTTAATAATAAAAACCTGAACAGTAAAGATCATTTACCAGTGTTATATTCAAGAAATATATAAATAAATTAATACAGGTTAATAGTAGATAAATGCTCCAAAAATTCTGAGCTATTACCTTCTCAGAACAGTGTGGGCATGTCAGAATGCAAAATGATTGACAGTGGCGTCTCCCAGGCACCACAAACAACCCAGCACTAGTGGAAGTGGTTCAGCCCTACATGTTTGTGCTTCGGCCATAGAAAAAACAGACCACTTTACTCCTCTCAACCACTCTCTGAATGGTGAGTAAAAGTGGCAAACAGAGAACAAGCTGTCTAACAGTCATTTTAGAGATCTAATTACATTTTAGCTAATGGAGAATAAATTGTGTCTGATATTTAAACATTCAGCACTAACGTGATTCCTGAAATCGATAGCTAGCTAGCAAACTGCTGGACTGTGCTTCTGAAACTGAGGTCACTCAAGCTCCCGTTTGAGTCGTTATCACACGCGCTTTATTGTACATCCCACATGTAAAGTAAAGCTAAAGCTATCATTTTATTCCTACAGTCAAGGTGGACCACTAACATTAGCTAATGAGCTCTCATAAAAGAATAGTAGGATCCTGCAACAGGTGGCAAACACGAGCAGGAAGCAGCATCTAGCTATGCTTCAAACAACAGTGTAATAAACCTTAATAACAAGCACTTAAAAACCTAAAAACAAACAAAAGCTCATGTAAGCTACTTGCTGGGAGTTTTGTCTAGGACTCAGAGCAGCAAGAGACCAGTCACTTTATGTGAGGGAGAGGAACGTGAGTAGCTGACGTATACACATTGCTAACTCTGTCTGGTGCTTTGGCAGATCTGACGTCTGTGCCAAATTTAGTCCCACTAACTCAAATCAAACTGAAGAAAATGACAGAAATAAGTCATTAAAAATCTCTCAACAGAAAAGACCATCATTCTTTACCTGCCAGTTCAAAATATAGACACTAGTTAGAAAAAAGTCATAAGTCACAGTCACAGTCCTTGTAACAAAATCTTTCATTACCATATTTTAGAAGCCAAAAGCAAACAAATGAAGAACTTACCATTTCTTTTTAAAGAAACATATGCTGGGTAGCTTAACACGACTGGAACTACAAATGCCAGAATGCAAAAATGCAATGTCCCCATGTGCATACTGGAAAAACCTGTGTGGCAGAAATACAGATTAATTTATAGCTTCTGAAAACAAGGGTATATTCTTATTTCATTCTGGTTTCTGTTTCTATGCTCAATGGAGCCCCTAAGGGGCCGTGGTTAAAAAAAAAAAGTTAATGACATTGCGTTCCCTCGCAAAATATACGCTCGTCAGACAGCAAGCAAATGTAGGGCCAAAACATTTGTGAGGGAACGCAATGTCATTAACTTTTTTTTTTTAATCATGGCCCCTTAAGGGGCTCCGTAATGCTCAGCTGCAGGTTGATGTTCATTTTTCTAATGACAAAGTAAACTGTTTTCATATGGCAATCATAATAACTGCCTCTGACAGACTGAATAAACATTTTATGTGGAACCATCATACACTCATTTGATTATCAGTGTATTAGGTACTCCTATTCAGTAGTGTGTTGTCTCCTTTGGCTTTCAGAACAGTATTGATTCCTGCATGAAATCAACAAATTGCTAATTGTTTTGTGCAGGAATGCTGTAACATGCAGTGCTTTCCCACAACAAACAAATCAGAATATTAAAATTCTACATAGTCTGAAGAAAACTCAGTTTTATTTTTATGTCAAACCTTTTAAGGCAGTTAGTGACTTAAGACTAACCTGAACTACAATATACTTTGTATAAGTACAAAAATATTGACTTACCCAGCTCCTGTACTTCCACAGTTGTGTTAGCAGCAAACTCCCCAAAGAATGCTTCACATATATACAGGCCTTTGTCCTCAGTTCGGAGATCCTTTAGTCTAAATGAGAAATTTCCTTTCTGGATTTCAGGGCTGAAGAACTCAACTCTGTCAGTGTATCTCTCATGGGTTGATTCAGTCTGGACCACACCGTTTTGGAAGATCAGCACTTGTATCTGCTGATCCACTTTCTTCCATGAGACCTCTTCAAGCTTTTCAGGTGGGACACTGGAGTCCACAGAACAATTCATAGTGATATCCTCACCCACATACGCAGACACAACATGACCTCCAGTCACAATCAAACGCTCTGAAAGAAGAATCATTTGAAACAGTACAGTGTAGAATTTAATTTTAAAGCCTCAGATCAGAATATATAAATAGAAACATGCAGCGTGTACTAGTTCATTAGGTAATCCTACCATGTACCAGATAGGGGATAACAGCATTTTTTAATTTTGGACTGATGCACAATTAATATATTGATGCACAATTTATCTGCCTTTCAGTACCTCATTGATCAATGGAAGAAACCACTGACCAGAAATTACAACCCCATTTTTAAAAAAGTTGTGACGCTGTGCAGAATGTAAATAAAACTAGAATGCAATGACATGCAAATCATATAAACCCTATATTTAATTGACAATAGTACAAAAACAATATATCAACTATTCAAACTGAGAAATGTAATTGTTTTTTTTTTTAATATATGACCATTTTGAATTTGATGTCATGTTTCAAAAAAGTTGAGACGGAGGTATGTTTTCCATGGTGCTGCATCACCTCTTCTTTTAACAACACACTGTGAGTGTATGGGAACTGTGGAGACCAAGTGCTGTAGTTCTGAAAGTGAAATTTTTCCCGTTCTTGCTTGATAGAAGATTTCAGCTGCTCAACAGTTCAGGGTCTCCGTTGTTATATTTTTTGTTTTATAATGTGCCAAATGTTATCAGTGGGTGACAAATCTGGACTGCAGGCAGGCCAGTTTAGCACCCGGACTCTTTTACTACAGAGCAATGCTGTTGTAATACATGCAGAATGTGGTTTGGCATTGTCTTGCTGAAAAAAGCAAGGCCTTCCCTGAAAAAGACGTCACCTGGATGGCAGCAAATGTTGCTCCAAAACCTGTGTATCGTGTTTAGCATTAATGGTGTCTTCACAGATGTGCAAGTCATCCATGCCATGTGCACTAATGTACCTACATACCATCTTGGATGCTGGCTTTTGAACTGTGTGCTGATAACAAGCCGGATTGTCTTTAACGCAGAGGACATGATTTCCAAAACGAATTTCAAATTTTGATTCATCAGACCACAGGACACTTTTCCACTTCAGGCGTGGTGGTTTCTTTTTCGCATAGTAGTTTTAACTTGCATTTGTGGATGCAGTAACAAACTGGGTTCACAGACAGTGTTTGTTGGAAGTGTTTCTGAGCCCATGCAGTGATTTCCACTACAGAATCAAATTGTTTTTAATGCAGAGCCACATCAAGGTCCAAAGATCACAGCACAGAGTGGCGAACCGCTCCACATCTTTACTTCTGAAAGACTCTGCCTCTCTGCGATGCTTTGTTTATACCCAATTATGTTACAGACCTTTGCCAATTAACCATCAGGTGTTTTTTAGTATTACACAACTTTACCAGTGATTTGTTGCTTCTGTCCCAACTTTCTTAAAACATGCTGCTGGTATCAAATTAAAAATATAAAAAAATATATTTTTCACATTTGATGTGTCGTCTTTGTAGTATTCTCAATTAAAAACAGGCTTTGAATAGTTTGTATGTCATTGCAATCTGTTTTTATTTGCATTTTGCACAGCGTCCCCTTTTTTGGAAACAAGGTTGTATTTGGGTAGTGGATCAGTCTCAGCACAGCAGTGACACTGATGGTAATGTATGACACTGGTACAAGCACATCAGCGTGTAGCTGGACTTTGTACACAGTCTGTAAGCTTACTGCCCTTATTATTAGAAATTCCTTATGGGTGACTTTTTCTATGCATAATTTGTGTTAGCTATCCTCTACACCAGTAACACCGCCGAGCCAGATACACTCATACCATCAACCCACATAATACCATGCCACTATCATGTCAGGGTCACTGCTGGGCTGAGAACTGTCCACCACTCAAATAATATTTGGTCAACAGCAGTCCCGTAAGAAAGACCAAAAGCAGTCTTGTCAAAAAGACCAAAGACGTATGTCAAATAGCGGCTGATAAACTATGCAGAAAGAAATCAGCTAAAGTCAGTAACTGTAAACCTATATAATAGCACCTATATGGTAGGTGTTCCTGATAAAACTGTCGATAAGTGTACAAACAAGATAGGTGTATCTTATAAACTGGAACCTCACTGTATCTCAAATTAAAATAATCTATCCTAATCTATGTTACAATAATATGAAATGTGTGGCAGGTATGAGTGCTGTTTTTGAATGCTGCTGCTACCAAAATGTCATAGCTTACATATGCATGACTAGATTGTGTTACATAACCAGCTGAGTCTTCAACGTGCCACTTTATTTGATTGTGTGATGTTATGGAACTGATTTTTCATTTACTAATTTAAAGAGGCAGTTTGGTTCATTATGTTATTTATGCTGTAAAACTGGCTAACAATATACTAGAATTGTGTTAATATGATCAATCTTTATATTTAACTAACAGAGGGTGAGTTTAAGGCTAATGAAATCAAGCAAAAAAATCTGAAAAGTTCTGTTAAAAAAATTAATTTCCATAAAAAGTCATGACCAGTACATGATTTGTACTGATTGAACTTTCTCACATACTGTTCTTTATAAAAAAAGACATCCTGTTCAGGATTTTACCGTCAAAATAATTTTCTACAGAACATTACTAAAATCAGTTTTACTCACCAATCGTCTTTATTTCAACAGATGTTTTACCAGTTTCCTGTTGACTGTAAACAAAACAGTTGTAAACTCCTGCATCTTTAGTGGTCAGATTTGTGAGGAGGAGAGAGAAGTTTCCACACTCAACCTCCTCAGTAAAGAAACTGGCTCGTCCACTGTAAGCCTGGTCCTGAGTCTCTGGTTGACTTTCTCCATCTTGAAACAAATGCACTAAGGTTTCAGAGTCTGTTCTCTTCCACTCCACTTCCAGCTTTTCCAGTGGTATGGGGGTTTCAACATAACAGGGCAGCATCACTGAGCCCCCCAGCTCCACAATCAGAGGATCAGAGGGACCTAGCACATGGAGCCCTGAAAGAAGACAAAGAGTACTGTCTAGGTAAAATTTATTCTCTTAGGGTACAAACAATATAAGGTTGTTTTTACGCCTTGTTAATTTGTTGAATTCCACACCAGAGTTTAGGTGTTTCATCTGGATCAGTATGTTTCACAATGCCATGGCTAAAGTTCATCTAATTACACACATGAGCGTTCTTTGATTGGGCAGAAATTCAGCAGGGATGCAAATGCTCAGTTACTTTCATATTTGCTTCCATGAGTGCAAAAAATGTATTTTATTATAACTTTCATTAGCCTATCACACCATAAAATCCAGATCCGTTGCTCACAGATTTTAGCCTCCTATCACAGACTGTACAGCGCTGAAGTTCGGCTAGATGAAGAGGAAAAAAATGCTCTGTTAAATCCTCTCTTTTGGTGCACCAAAATGCAATCTAAAGGAAAAGCTTGAGCAGTCCACACCCTCATAAATACAACAGCATTCTTAAGGACCACCTAAATACATTAAATGAGACAAAGACATTTTTCATCTTGCACTATATATCATTTCATTTTGCACTGTAAATCTCACTGTGTTTATCTTTACATCTTTGGTCTCATTTATCTTTATTTTCTTTTTCTATTTATGTCCTTGCTGTCAATTCAGGAGCTGCTAAATGTTTTTTTCACTGCTTTTAAACAATGACAATAAAAATCTATCTATCTATCTATCTATCTATCTATCTAATCAGACAATGAGTTGAATTAGGTATGCTAGATAAGACAAAGCACAAAAATGCAAAAGGTGGGGTAGTCAGGACTGGGAATGGGAGCCCCTGCTCTAAGTTAATGTACAGAAGATGTACAATCACAGTGATAGAGAGTGTGTCCTGAAAATGTTGTTCTTTATAAGAGTGTACGTCATAATATGACACAATGTTGACTATTTGGGCACTGTCCGTTTTGGCCTGGTATGCCTACAAGGTGTTTTATCCGCAAGGACCAAAACACATCCTTTGAATATTTAAATTTAAAAAATGCTTTAGATGTTTCTCCTTCATTGTGTTTTTCATCCAAGAGACAAAAAGACATGTATAAAAAATGTCCTTTGCCTTGCAATGCAATGTCTCCTTTAACCACTTCTCCTGCTTTACTTTCATTTTCTTCAAATGGACAAAAACATACTCTAGAATTATAAAACACATACTTTGCATTTTAATGTGTAATCTGCATCGGTCACTTCTCAATCTTCATTCATGTGTTCTTCAAATGGACAAATAAAAAACACTAGCATTATAAATTGTGCCCTAGTCCTCTACCCCTAATATACATTGACTGAGTCAAATTACTGAGTCAAAATGTAGGTCTATTGAATGTTTGGTTTTTACTTTCAGGTTATAACGGCTGAAAATTTCCCAATTAAAACCTGTTTTCTCTTTAAATACATGACTGAAATACCGTTTATTGTAGTACTGTGTCTCAGAAAAAGCATTTCAGCTCATGTTTTGAGGAGAGCAGAAGGCGGGAACGCATCATGTGCTTCCTTAGATTAACATTAATTCTACATTAGACTCTGTTTACTGAAGCAGCTCAACAGTAAATATAAACGAAAATGAAGAGTGTTTAAATCACTGCTCACCGTCACAGATGAACAGAACTCCTAACACAAAAAGACAAATAATTAAGCTCATCTTCAGATCCGGGACGAACATCATCCCGTTAGATGAACTTTTTACTTTCACTTCTCAGACTTGGGCGGGACAAATGGGGGGCGGCTGTCAATCACTTGACGACTCGAGCCAATCACGAATCATCTACCAAACTAACGAGCCAATCACCAACAGGAATACAGCACTGACTGTCTCACTGAACTGATTCAGAATCGCAGTACTTGTGTTCGTTTTACTGCGTTAGTTAAATGTGGGTCAAATGTCGTGCTTTGATTCCTACCATTTTCAGTTCTTTTCGAGCTGAGCTTGTTGTGGCAGATATTTTAGCCTATTCGATTTAAACGGTGCAATTTCCTCAGTTCCACAAAGCCTCAGTCAGTATCTCTTTCTCTCGTCTCTCTCTCCTCACTCGTTCACTAGTTGACGATTTTCTGAGGTAAACCAGCTGACGGCTAAAGGTTCCACACACATTTTAAACATTCATATAGCAGCAAACAACTATTTCCTATATAAAGATATAACGGAGTAACGGCGTGCTGAGCGGAGAATGAGGTCACACCCCCTTTGTTTCTGTTGTAATGCAAGCTCCTCTGTTTTTATAGCCGGTATGGCCGCGCATGCGTCCCGCCCTGTGAAACGTTGGTCCTCAATACGTTTTGCTCCCCCCCCCCAAGATATAAAGACAGTGACCCACACAGCACTGTGTGTGTAAGAGAGCGGAGTGCAGTAGGAAACGTTCAGGTGAAAGCCACCTTCCAAACATCCCTCCACTGAATATTTCTATAAGTTGTCGAGGTTCAAGTTGGCTATATTCGCATTTTCCCACTCCACTTTAAATCTTGCAGCAGTTTCACGCTGCGCGTGAACGTAACTGCCGCATTTCAAAAATTCAAACTAGAAGCTGGCAAATAAGTAGCGTTAGCTGACTTCAGCTTCACTGAGACCGTTAAACGGTATGAAAAGTTATAAGGAGGTTGTCCTCTCTGTGCTTGACTGGTGTGCAACATTAGCTTATTTTTGCTGTTTCACAGAACCAACAGGTCAGCGCTGTTTAGCCCCGTTTGCTAATGTTTGTGATAGCAACTGGTTAGCTTTGTACCAGCAACTGTAGCGACAGTTTGCTAACCCACAGCCTAGCTAACCTTACCTTACAGTACTTGCTGTGTTGTTTGTTTTTTCTAACGTTTATCATGGTATTTGTCTGAACAACGTTTGCGAAGGGTTTTATGGCCACGAAAATCTAACAACCGTTTTACCAGTCTAATGTCGTTCCCCTTTGGCAATGGAGAAGGAAGGGTCTGAACTGCAGAGCCGCAGACTTACACCCGCAGTCCACTCCAACGGTTTCAGGCCAGTGGAGCGCATGCGCAGTAGATAGATAGCTACTTTATTGATCTTGAAGGAAATTTAGCAGCCAGTAGCAGTCACACAACACAGGACAGCAATAATAATAAGGGTGAAGCAATATAAAAGGAAGAATAAATATAAAAAAATCTACAGGCATATATACAAATAGAAATATACAAAAATCTGGAAGATCTATAACCTGAGATGAGAAAGGCAGTGCAATAATGACTGTACAAGGAGGTGCAGGTAACAGCATATAATGACAATACTGAATAAATATGTGCATATATTTGTACTGAAATAAAGTGTCCAGGTGTGGAGTGTCCAGATGTGCAAGATGCACGATAGGGGGTACAGAAAGTGCAATATGTACAGTAAGGTAAAGGTGGATAAAATAAACCTATGATTTATGATTTAGTATTGATTTAGTATGAGATAAACAGTATGATTTAGTATGAGATAAACAGTAGGACAGCGCGATTGTGCCATGTAAACAAAGTCCTCATATGAAAATCGAGCGTTATGAGCGATCCAGTTCATATTTCAAGCAGTGGCTGCTCTCCTCATTTATAACGTCTCTGATGTAAACTGTCACTGTTTGTGCTGATTGTTTGTGTCGCCATACATATTACCATTCAGGAAAGGATATCGTTGCCAATATATGAATCAGCTATTGGTAACTGACTAAACCATAAGCCAGTACACATTACAACTCCTTCAGAAACTAAAAGAAACACTTAATGTTTTCTATGGGTTTTTTTCAGCAGGGATACATTCAAAAACTAAAGTTTGTTTTAGCCTAAAGCTTAATATTATGCTCAGTTTAATCCTGCTTAGGGTAAAGTTTATTCCTGCACATGTAATGTAAGTTTACACATAAAGCCCCCGTATTAAGGCTAAGTTAATTGTGTTATGTAGACATATGACCCATTAGTTTACCCAGACCTCAAAGCTGTAGTTTGTGTAATATTTATCCCGTGAATCTGGATATGTGTTCAGACCAAAGTTTGTTTTAGCCTAAAGCCTAAAATGTAACGTTAGCCCAATGTAAATTCATAACAAATTTACTGAAATATTGATTAGCCTAAAGCAGATGATGTGATTGGTCTGTGAGTCTCCTGTGCTGCTAAAGCGGTACCGTAAAAGCTAGAAAAGCTACGCTGATTAAAATAGGACCACCCCATCGAAATTAAATAATTCTCCATAGTTTATTGGTTATAGGTTCAGGTCCGCATAGGACAGAGTCTGGGTCCGGACTCGGACCGTGGTCCACCTATTAGTGACCTCTGGCCTAAAGCTTACTAAGAAAAAAACAATACAGGTGTGGACGCATGTGCTGAATGCCACTGGCTTGAACCTGCTGGAGTGAAACTGCTGGTGTGAAACTGTGGCTCTGCAGACAGATATCGAGTGTGTCCCGATTCAGGGGCTGCATCCTGCAAAGGACGCGGTCTACAAAGGCGTGTCCTTCAAAAGCTGCTTAGACCCACGAAGGCTGAACCATAATGAGACGATCTGCTCTACAGCATGTTTTCTATTTGTGTCACAGCACCACTGTTGCCGCCCTTACCGTTGCATCATGAAACATCGCTCCTGTTAATTTCTTTTTTAAGTTCTTTAAAGACGAACCAGAAACTTTGATTTTTGTTTAATTTTTTTTCATTTATTAGAGCTGGAGATGCTTCACCGCTGGCTACCGATGAGATTTTTTTTTTCACATTTGTATCGTTAGCTATTCGACTTAGCTATTCGTTAGCTAAACTCAATACTTACATTTTAAAGTGTCTCCTCAGCTGCCGTTCACTCCTCTGCTGATGCCTCCATGGTCTTAAATGCTCGCCAGCATGCAATGAACCTTGGGATTGGCTGGCAAAGGATCCATCCGTTGGATCCTTCGTTGCCATGGAAAAGCTCACATTTTTCTGACACATATGAAGGAGTCTTCGAAATTGGACAGCTTAGTCCGCCGCTGTAATGCAAACGGCCTTCAAATGCAGCCCCAGAAGGATGCAGCCCCTGAATTGGGACACAGCTATTATTGGGGGTTAATGGGCGTCCACTGGGGGTGGAGCTTCTGAGGGAGCAGTGAAGGTAGGACCTGTGAGTAACTGAGGTCCTAAAAAATTATTAGAACTGTAGGTAATTTTTAGATATTTTCAATATTAAATTATTAACCTATCATCATTAAAAGAAACTTTAATTTACAGTGCACTTATAATACTAATGGTTTCTTTTACTTTTCTATCCAAAGAGTCTCTATATTGCCCACCCTCTCCCCTCTATTTACATGAAATTGTTCGGTTCAAACCAGACACGAACAGTACTTGCTCCCAGTGAACTGCAAGCGAAGAGCGCCAGTGGACCTTCATGTCTCAGCTTCCAAAAAACGAGAAGAAAAAAAAGAAACGAGAGAGAGCAGAAAGGGAGACAGTGTCACCTAATTTTTTTACAAAGATAGTTGGAAGTAGTCCGTGAGTGGTGGAAATGAAGCTGTTAGCTTACTCCATAGTAAAATAGGGTACTTTTGCTCCCCTAACATTAGTACCTCAGAAAACTCAGTATTTTTCGGCCCTCTTTTAGCTGACATTTAATGAGTGTAGGCAACTTTTAGCAAGCGATTCATAATAAATCATTTGTTTTCTTTTTTATTATAAAAAATAAAAAAATGTATGAAAAAAAAGAAAAAAGATTCAATAATTTTCAATAAGAATTCAAACACTGTAATTATTTTCAGTGAAGTAAGTGTTTTATAAACTCTTGTGTGTTATATAGGTTTTTTTAAATAAAGATACACAACTGTCATCATATTTGCAATTTTAGGTTAGTGAGTGTCCATTTTACAGCTTTTAGTACATTGAGGGATTAACATGCTAACATTAGCTCATTTTAAGCCTCAGGCTGTTGTTTTAAATAGGCAGCTGACTATCAACTAAGTAGCTAGTTTTTACACTGCTGTTGCCACCACATTGAACCAGCCGGTTTGATCCCCTGAGCTGACAGTACGTGACTGAGGTGCCCTTGAGCAAGGCACCTAACCCCCAACTGCTCCCCAGGTGCTTTGGATAGGGCTGCCCACCGCTCCGGGCAAGTGTGCTCACTGCCCCCTAGTGTGTGCATTCACTAGTTTGTATGTGGGTTTTCACTGCACGGATGGATTAGATTGCAGAGGTGACTGAGCCAATCGGACCATCTCAGCATCTGCCCCATTTCCTTAGCCCTCAAATCACTGCTTAGCAACCATTGCTAGCTGCTTTTCAGGGTGTATGTTTGTACTTTGGTCAAGTGATGGGCCTGTGTGACTTAAAATACGCTCCGTACCATGACAGAAGGCAGGACATTGTTTTCTACCTGTCTTCAAAGACACGGGAAACTGGTGTGGTTTCTAAACACACTATTTTTCCTCTGTTTACCATTAATTTCATTTTCATAACATTCATAGTGGGTAATATGAGCTAATTTGAGTGAATAATAAGCAGTGTGACTCCACACGTGAGCCTGAAAAGCCAATGTTGAGCAGACCAACTTTATTAACATATGTTTTCACCATATTACCTAAGCAGTTGGTTACCTTTATTAAACAGATGAAGTAAGCAAACCCTCTTCAACACCAGCAGAGAAAGCTGACGGGGCTTCAGTGAGTGCAGCAGCATTTGATCAAATTTATTTCATTTTTGCTTTTTTTAATTAACATGCACATAATATTATAAACAAGGACATCCATATTAAAGATAAACTACAGACATATGTATTCAACTACACCAACTAAACACAACAAAAAGGATAAAGTAAACGGAAATAAAAAAACTACAAAGACAACACTTATTCTTCAGCAAACTTAAATCCTATGTATACCTAATAGCAGACATAGTTTTTTATTGATAAGGCATTTAAGAGATTTAATAAATAAATTAAATTCACCTAAGAAAACATTGAGGCGAGGCTTAGATTTACCATGTTTTGTCTTGGATAAGTAGTATTTCCCAAAAACAATCATCAGATTAAAACTGTTTTTCTTGTATAGAAAGGCTGAATCCAAGGTGGTCATGTCAGTGGTTATGTCCTGCTGAAACAGACTGTATGATTATACAATAATTGTGTCAAAGTGATCATTTCAGTTGGCAAAATTGAAATGTAAGTGGGAAACAGCGCCTCTCCTTGTTGTAATTACATATTCTCACCTGCTGCACTCATTCTATGTCAAAGTACCTTTGAAAAGGCATTCGACCAGATTGCATTTTCATTGTCTTCCCAATCTGTCAGTCATTCCATCAGGGTGGGGCTAACAGCAGATCCGACCATAGGCACATAATGAGCGCAGTAGGCAGGAATATGTGCTAAATGCAAAGAGAAGAGACTTGTCTGTGTATCTTCTGTTCATTTCAAAATCCAGTATTGAAAAACAAAAAATGGGTCGATTCCCGTTTTTGGTTCTGTTACTGATCCAAAGAGTGCACGTATGGTTGCACTGTGAAACATTTCACTGTAAAAGGGGGCGATCTTAATTTGATGTAGTAGTCATTTATTTACAATGATGGTTAATGCTTTGCAGCTAGGTAAGTTATAGCATTCCCTAATCCGTGTAGATATTCATAATACATTAACGTTAGCACCTTCTTACACTAAGCTGAAGTTAGCTTCTTATTTGCCAGCTTCTTGTTCGAATATTCCTATTCCACCTTAAATGGTGCAGCTTTAGGCACCAGAAAGTGACTACTGCACCATTTAAGGTGGAACGGGAAAACTTGAAGAAGAAGCTGGTGAATAGGAAACCAACTTTAGCTTCGTGCTTCTTACTGTGTTTTGGGGGATTTATTTTATTTTCATATGTATTATTTCATATGTACTGAATACTTTTCTGCTGGTCCAGACGGCTAATTAGCATGATCAGTTATCAAAGAAACAAAAGCTGCCAAGAGCTGTGCATGCAACCTAGATTATTCTATGTCTGAGGAATAAAACAAAACAAATTTGTTGAAAATCGCTTCAGTAATAAGCAAGTTGTGGCCAATTTAATCCTGAGACTCATCATCTCTCAATACAAGTGAATTTGTTCACAAGCAGATCTTGACCGCTCCAACATGGTGGACGCGCAGACGTATCGCCTCACACAGAGAACAATGGGCAACGCAGCATCTAGTTATTTTATGAGAAGACCACCTTCAGAGTCTGCCAGTACAATGGCTCTAGCCAAAACGCTGCCAGTTACTTCGTTCTGTTTTTGTGCATGTTCAGTAATGATGATTAATCACACTCAGCCAGTCTGAAATCAAGTCATATTATTTTAGGAACTCTTTTTCTAGGTTAACGAGAGTTTGACTGGCCCAACGTGGTTTAACCCATAGATATACATACCTAGATGCCGCGTTGTCTGTTGTTCTCTATCTGAGGCGATACGTCTGCGCGTCCTCCATGTTGGAGCGGTCAAGATCTGCTTTTGAACAAATTTATTTGTATTGAGAGATGATGAGTTCTTCCTCGCTTGCGAATTCTGAATTAGATTTGACGCCATAATTATCCTCTTTTCATACGTTGATCGGCATCCGTCATGTTGGTGGTTCGATCCCTGCTATAAGTGCTTTCACCACAAAAGGGCACAAGCACCACGCAGCTCCCATCCATGTCAGTCAAACGCCATTTATATAAATTGTATTCTGTGATTCTGCATTCATCTCAGCATGTTACACTGGGTGTCATTAGAATGTAAAATGCCCAGATTTTTACTTATTGTAGTTGGTTGATTAAATTCATAGTACATTTCATAAGTCTTATATTTTCGAATTTGTAACATTCTTTGCAGACACATTGACCTCCTTGGTGGAAGATCCTGGTGGTGAATGCTGCGGTAAGGTCCAACGAAGGTATTTCATTGAAGCTCTTTTGCAAATCAAGTAGCTTTTCACTAGTGAAGCTATTTTATCGATGAAGTGGCAGGGTAGCTTTGTAAAAATGGATGGATGTTTTGGAGCAGTAAGTCTGTTGATGACATCACACTCATCCACAGAGTAGTCATGAGTTTTGTAGTTCAGCTGTTAACCTTCACAGTTACTAAAGGGGAAAAAAAAAGGTTCTGTGCTGGTACAAACAGTGTAAATGTACCCTCAAAGGTACAACAGTGGTTTTAAGGTCGAATTATGAACCTTAAATTTTTAAAGTTTTTTAAAGTTTTTCCATAAATAAGATTAAACCATCCTAAATGCAGTTAATCCAGATTTCTGAGTAGCTACAGATCACAGCGACAGGATGAAAATTCCACGTAACATTTTGGATTTAGGATCAAAACACATCCGCTGCATTTTTAAGGCAAAATTCCTTAAGCCTGCACCAACCACAGCCAGCTCAGAACTGAACTGATATCGCCACCAGAACAGTAATAACGCCAAAACAAGCCGCACAGAAAACTAAATTACTAAAACATACAAAAATGCAGCTCTGCCGTCTAACAGAAGCGTTTAAAATGCAGCACAGGATTCAGTCAAATCAGTGAAATTGATTCAGTACCGAATTAGTTCAGTAAGAGCGTTTGTGTTGTATTCCTGTTCGAGATTGGCTCGTTAGAGTTTGGTAGCTGTTATGTAATTGGCTCGAGCCACCAGCGGCCCTCTTTGTCCCGCCTACCGCTAGAGTCTGAGGAGTGAAAGTAAAAAGTTCGGCGGTACCGTGTTCGTCCCAGATGTGAAGATGGGCGTAATTATTTTCCTTTTTCTGTCAGGAGTTCTGTTCATCTGTGACGGTAAGCAGAGATTCAAACACTGTTTATCTTCATTTACTTTTACTGTAGAGCTGCTTCGCTGTGAACCGAGTCTGACGCCCTGAAAAAGTACACAGCACTGATTCACTTGATTAAAATATGTACATCGGTTCCTCAGGCATAAACATGTCACACCAACACAGTCTTTTATTTCAGCTTACTGAAAGATGGCTTTTGGCAAGAATTTAGTTGATATAATATATCTTATTCATGTGGAACCGACGAACACATCAGAACCAAGTATAGTCAGCAATGTTCTGCACTCCAAGGCTAAACTAAGCGAGCACGCATTGGCGCCCCGCCCTCTGCTCTCCTCCTCAGAACATGACTGTAAATGCTGTAAAGAGGACTAATTTACCGCTAAACAGCCTGTTTATGTCGGGAAAGGAGAGGTGACTTTAGTTGTTCTGTTTACGAGAGGTGCTATTTAACTTTACGTGAAGTTTAGGTTGGGCGTATTTTGGTTATCAGAAAAGAGGGCCGGATAGCGGCATAGGGCAGATGGACTCCGGCAGTGGGTGGGGGTTTGGGGTGGTTTCAGGAAACCGGTGGCACTGTGGCAATTTGTACGTGGTCAGTGTGTGTTTGTGTGTGTGTGTGTGTGTGTGTGTGTGTGTGTGTGTGTGTGTGTGGTTGGGGTGGGTGGGGGGGATTAATAGTTGACCAATGCGTCCACAACCATGCAACCGTGTTACTGAACTTTAATACATAAACAGCTAGTCTTTAACTAGACATATAACATTCATATCCATTATGGCCAGATCTTATTCCTTTCTATCCAACTTTTGGGCCTCAACAATAAAATAAAAACAAACAAATAAAAATAAAAAAATAGGCTTTTAATACCTTTTACATAATACCGTTTCTTTTTTGGCCATAGATTCAAATAATATAAAAAATCAGTTGCCATAAAAATCCACTGTCCTCTTGATGTGCTCAGGTTTACATTCCTGAAGATCGAATCCTTCCCAGTGGTCCTTAATTACTAATCAAGCAGGCATGAAAGTGTTTGGCTATTTTTTTTTAAATCCCAAAAAGAGGACACACCCAGGAAAACAAGGACGTATTGTCACCCTGGTGAAACTCGTGTGGGACCTCTAAGGTTACATGGTGATTATTTTTTTGATAAGGCATGGCCACAAATTATTATTTTGAGGCCACAATTTACTATATTGAGACCACAAATTACTATATTAAATCCACAAGTTACTATACGGAGGCCACAAATTAATACATTAAGTTTCTCTTAACTTGTGGCCTCAGTATTTTAATTCATGGCCAAGACTTAATAAAACATAATCGTCTTGTCACATCAGGGGCTGCATAAGCTTGAGTGCAAGGAACCAGAAATAAATGCCGATATACTTTAAAATGTAAACTTGCTTCAGTGTGACTCGCTGCAGTAAAGCAGCTAAGCTGAAGTGACTGTAAATATGTATAGCGGCTATACTCGGAGAGAAAGTTCTTCTGATCCCCGTCTATGGCTGGGAAACAGGATCAGAAAAAGGTAATGAATAATACTAAATAATATGTACACCTAATGCTTCATTCACTTTTACTGTTAAAATGTTGAGTTAAAATAGAGCCTTGAAATGGCTGTATTGGAGTGAATTCTATAATGTCTATGCTGTTTGTCATTTACTGAGCGACAAAATTGAGAAGCATGATTCTTTAACTAGAACTACACTGTTAGAAATAAAGGTATTATGCAAGTACATTTTTTTGTTCATCAAGGTACAAACGTAGTAAATGTTCCCTCAAAAGTACAACAGTGGTTTTAAGGTCTAATTGTGAACCTTATATAAGTTTTTCCAGGTACATATTTTAATGTTTTAAAACAGAACAATAAAATAAAAAGCCTGGAGACGAGACGGGGTGTGTGGAGTCGATACAACCTAGAAAATGTCATTTCAATTATGGTATAATTATGTTGCCTGACTAAAGGTACTTGAGGAAAATGAAAAAGCTGCAATGGCTGTGTTGGAAATAGTCTACTACATGCTACTCATGTACTGATTCTGCACAGAAGTGGTAAGTAGTATGCAGTACTAGTTACTAAGTGACCAACATGATTTTTTTCCAGTACACCAAAGATACCCGGATGATATACACAATATTGCAGTATGCAGCCAGAGCTATCTTTGTGATGTACTGCACAAGCTATGCCCACTGACTTAACCGCCTGATTAGTTTAGAACAGTTAAAAGCCCAGTTTCAGTCTTTTATGGATACATAAATTGAATGAAAAGAATATTTATATTAAACTTAAACTTATTATTCAGTCAAACTAGCTCATATTACCAACTACAAAAGTAAAGAATATGAAATGACTTCCATACGGAGGAAAACTCAGCAGGCTCACGTATTGGCCAAAATATATCTGCATGTGTTTCCAAAGACGCAACCTGAAAAGAGCTGAAAAGCAGCTAGTGATGGTTGCTGAGCAGTGATTGGAGGGCTTAGGAATTAGTCTAGTCCTGCCTCCTTCTGTAGTACAGCAAATGGCTTTTGTCTCATACTAGATACTGTACTGTTTAATACTAACGAAGAGTAGCATGCAGTCTGCAGTATGTGGTATAGCAGTATGCCATTTCAAATGCACCCAGTGTCTCAAAAACCTAAACTCTGGTGTGGATTTTAGAAAATGAACTAGGTGTGAAAAAAAGTCTTATATTGTTTGGACCCTGAGAGAATATAATTTACCTGGACAGTGGCCTTTTTTCTCACAGTGTATGTTGTGAAAAATATTACTCATTTCACTGTATTTTCTTTTCTTTCAGGGCTCCATGTGCTAGGACCTTTTGGTCCTCTGATAGTGGAGCTGGGGGGCTCAGTGATGCTGCCCTGTTATGTTGAAGCCCCCATACCACTGGAAGAGCTGGAAGTGGAGTGGAAGAGAACAGACTCTGAAACTGTAGTACATTTATTCCAAGATGGAGAAAGTCGACCAGAGGCTCAGGACCAGGCTTACAGTGGAAGAGCCCGTTTCTTTACTGAGGAGGTTGAGCGTGGAAACTTCTCTCTCCTGCTCACAAATCTGACCTCTAAAGATGCAGGAGTTTACAACTGTTCCGTTTACAGACAGCAGGAAACTGGTCACACATCGGTCGAAATAAAGGAGATTGGTGAGTGAAACTTCAGTCTAATTTAATAATGTTCTATAGAAAAATATTTGGACTGTAAAAAAAATAATATTTTTTCGTGGTTGAGCTGAGGTGTTTTTTCTGGCTCTGATTTTCCCACCTTTTTCTATTAGTGCCACTTATTGGTGAGCTCCCACACCATTGATCAGTGAGCCCTCTAAATCTAAATGGGTGTAAAGTAGACAAAGAATAGAAATTTGACACATTCTAATTTTGAAATACCGTCATCATTTTTATATATCGTTACCATTTTTACTAGGGATGCATTGATACTAATTTTTTAGTTTAATATTTTTTAGTACCTGCCGAAATCATAATGAATAACTATTGACTAAATCATTAAAATCTAGCTGATTTTCAAAATGTTTATTAGCTAGTTATGCTATAGTTACCTTGAATTGTGTAGCACTGCAGTGGAGAAGTGTGGAGTTTGTTTCACGTTAGAAAAGCGCTTCTGTACAGCTGTAAGTAAAGTACGATTCATAGTTTTGATCCTCATCTGTCCTTTTCAACAACAGTCTCTGTAGCACAGTGACAGCAGGAATCACAGCCGAGGCTAATCCGAGGAGCTGACTTGTGGAATTTTACGTCTGAAGTCTTTTGTTTGGCTGTGAGCTGTAGTTAAATGTCTTCTAAAGCCAGACACACACTGCAGTTTTATAAATGTTGTTCTTTGGTTACTCATGCTGTAAGTTTGAATAGTCTATCGCGTAGAGACAAAGCATATGGTTTATACTCACATTGTATTAAAACGCTCCATTCATGCTACGTGAACGCAGTGTCTACAAACAGCTTTGTCCACGAACAATTTCAAATAAAGCTTTCATTCAAAATAACACGTAGTGCACCGAGTACTGAGCAAACACGCTGAGAAACTGAGCAGCGCTGCTAACACTGTGCACTGAAGCTAAAAGCAGGTGCATAGATTGTATACAGTCTGTGAGCAGGTGGAGACGTACACAGTAGGACAGTGCCATCTCTCTACAGTCTGTTTTACAAAGACATTTTAAAAATGTAACATTTACTGTGCAATTCTGCTCAGTCACAAGCTTTAGTAGTAGTCAACTTTTTGCTGGCCTGCGTGTCTCCACCCTGTGGCGTGGCCGGGGGGAAGCGTCGATGCACACAGACTGGAAAACCCAGTGAGAACTTAGAGACACACACACAAACACCAGCACAAGTGAACCAAAGTTCTTTATTTACACATCTGCGTGAAACAAACAACACAAAACCATACGGCTTGCTCAGCCTTACTTTAAAGAGTCCTTTTTTCTCTCTCTTTCAGTCCCTAGCTTTCACCCCTGGCGTCTGGCATGCAGGTCAGCGTCCTCTCTTACGCTGGAAAAAGAGCCAGTTTTTAAAAAGTCTGTGCTCCCCCTCTGATTCAGTGCAGCTGTGCATGATCAGAGGAGGAGCACGCGTCATGTGCTTGGGGCTAGGTGGCGGCTCCACCTCTCCGCCGCCCGATACCTGATACCAGTATTGGTATTGATGCATCCCTAACGTTTACATACCCAGGTGTACTGTATCAACGTTATACTGCCCAACCTCAACCAATACCACCTGATGCCATGTGACGTAAGCCTTGTGTATGCTGCTGCCCCAGTGAACAATTTTCATTCATGAACACATTCGTATGGCATATAAAACATAGGCTTTGTCCATACACAGTGGTCTGTTTGAATGTACAGTGTGAGTTGTCACCAAACATTCTAAAATGGCACAGTTTATAGAGGACAATCAGCTACAGCTCAACCAGCCAGCCAGTCAAAAGACTGCAACAACTTGTAAAACTCCACAAGTGAGCTGGATGCCTCAGCCTCAGATGAGATTCTTGCTGTCACTGTGCTACAGAGACTGTTGTTGAAAGAGACAGATGAGGATCAAAACTATGAAACTTACTTTACTTACAGCTGTACAGAAGCGCTTTTCTGACATGGAGCAAAACCTGCTCCTCTCCACTGCAGCGCTACTCGATCCAGGGTAACTAATGTAGCATAGATAGCCACTGCACATCATTCAATCAGCTAGATTTTAATAATTTTACCGTTAAGGTGCATTGCACTCATTTACACTAACAACTACTTAATTTGAAGTACTCATTATTGCTTGGTACCAGTATTGGCAAGTACCAGAAAACATGTACTCATACTCAGATGATGTATGTGTAATGACAGTAGAACTCTGCCTCATCACCAAGACTATGTATTTAATGCACCACCCCTAAGGACTTCAAATAAATGTTAAAATCAAATTGCAAATTTTACATTTATGTTATGTGATATGTACACTTGCCTGAGTGTCTGTATAAATGTTGGCACTGTTGTGTGTATCCTCTTGTAAGGGCCAGCAGGATCCATGGTAATCCTGGGCAGGGGAACACACCAGTAGAGAACATGTACAAAAAGAAAAGGAAGAAAAAAGAAGTTAGAAATAAATATTAGCTAAAGCTAGCTGTGAGTACTTACCAGTAGTAATATTTTTTGAAATACTGTCAATGTCTATAAGGGAACAATCTTCAGAACTGTGTGTATAGTAAATTTACCAAAGCTAAAATAGTCTAGCCTAGACTCTCTTGAGGAGAGCGTTTACAATATTTAAGCGCTGAGAGAGTTGTGCTGATGTTATAGCCTTATGGGGTCTCTTAAAACCTGAGCAAAAATATTTTTAACCTTTGTTGTCAAGACTGTAAACATCATATTTGTATGTTTCACTTCAATAAAAAAACACTGGTGCTTACTTGGAGGAATCCAAGCAGTCACTTGTAGCAGACCCAGTCCTACGTGTCCACTCTGTGTCATGCAACTTCACAAAAGGGAAGGACAGATATATGGTTCATTAATATATAAATGATGTATAAGTCCATAATTACAAACCAACACAGTGCATCTATATGGTAGATGTACTTGGACTGTGATTGCAGGTACAAGGTAGGAGTACCTAATAAACTAGCATGCAGTGCATATTTTTCATGTGTATATTCTGATCTAAGGCTTTAAAATTTAATTCTAACTGTACTGTTTCAAATGATTGTTCTTTCAGAGCGTTTGATTGTGACTGGAGGTCATGTCGTATCTGCGTATGCGAGTGAGGACATCACTATGAATTGTTCTGTGGACTCCAGTGTCCCACCTGAAAAGCTTGAGGTCTTATGGAAGACAGTGGATCAACAGATTCCAGTGCTGTTCTTCGAAAAGGGTGAGGTCCGGACTGAATCAACCCATGAGAGATACACAGACAGAGTGGAGTTCTTCAGCCCTGAAGAAAGGCAGAAAGGAAATTTCTCACTTAGATTAAAGGATCTCCGAACTGAGGACAAAGGCCATTACATATGTGAAGTGTCCTCTGGGGACTTTTCAGCTAACACAACTGTGGAAGTGCTGCAGCTGGGTAAGTCAGCATTTTTACTTTGCTAAAATATAGCGGTGCAGGGTTGTCCTTTCATGTAGTCATGTAGGACTGTAATATTCTGAACTTTTAAATTCAGAAAGTGTTGTTGGAAAGCACTTTCAATATGTAGGTGTTGTATGCGTACAGGGTGATATTGAAGTGTTTCCCCTCTTAATACAAACCATAAGTGGGTAGAGTAGCCTTTGATACTTGATACTTTTTGATACATGGATAAAACAATGACACAAAAAAAGGAAAAGTACTTTCCCAAAAAACACAACTTGAGTAGAGTAACTTGTAGGACTGCAGTGGAAGTTTTATGAATCCAGCATTTATCAGCACCGGAACTGAAGCTTGTACGGCTCTATTCTTCCCTTTTTGGGATTAGTTTGGTCTAAAATTAAATAGTGGGATCCTGAGTGGCGCAACCATCTACGCGTGAGTTCGATCCCTGGTGATGCTACAGCCATCCGTGGCCGGGAGTCCTCGAGAGCACACTGGGGGGGGGGTAGGATAGCCCCCCATCTCCCCCATCACTCGGCACGATGCTAGCCAGCGCAGGCGACTGTTAGCTGCTGTAGCAGATCTGGCGCTTGGCGCTTTCCTCCTAGCGCGTTTAGCTGTCCAATGACGTTGCGTTAGCAGCAGTTTGAAAAGATGTGGTGGCTGGTTTCACAGGTCTCGGAGGAAGCCTGTGTTAGCCTTCACCCTCCTAGCTCTGGTGATGGTATGATGTGATTGTGGGAGTCCTAACTAACTAGATGACTAAATTGGGGAGAAAACTGGGGGAAAATGCAAAAAAAAAAAAATCATTCTGTATTTCTACTACAGGTTTTTCCAGTATGCACACAGGGACATTGCTTCTCTGTGTGCTGGCTTTTGTAGTTCCAGTTTTTCTAAGCTATTCAGCGTCTACCTCTTTAACAAAAAATGGTAAGTCATTTTTTCAATTGACTGCTTTTGACTTCAACAATATGTTTATGTAACGTTCTGTTAACTTAATCACTCAAACACAAATTCTGTGTTTCCTCTGTAGACGACAGCAGAAGAGCCTTAGCTGTACAGTATACGCTTGTCTGTTGTCCAAACATTGCTATGTGCCTTGCCTTTATCCTTTGGGGCGTCATTGAAGGTAAGTATTGTAATTTATATTTCAGTTATTTTTATAACTCCAGTAACCATGCCAGTAAAACTTTAACGTAAAAACTTCCTTTACCAACGAGTAACATTATGATGATACTCTGTTCCTTCTTAGCAAGGTGAGGTGGAATAATGATGACCACATGTAAATCGTTTTCATGCCTGTAGACATTAGTGACACCAGATTTAAGCTTTTGCAGTAGACATTCCAGTAAAGCTTGGGTAAAACACCATCCAAAGCTTGTGGAGTGTGCTGATGTCTAGGTTCTCCAAGTGAGGACCAATAACTCTGAGGAATCTGTTTATGTTTTTTACTGAGTCCCAAAAGAGTTGCTGTCCAAGTAATTTTACATTTCTATAGTTTATTATTTTTTAAAGCAATTAATTTGCTGCAGGGTTCTACAGAGAGGCGGCTACTTGCTCGGCCCTTAACCTGATGAGGATTCTTTCCCTGTTTTGGATTGCTCCTTATTTGGATACATTTAAAGGTATGTTTTGATGATATGGAGTGATGGACAGTAGACATAAAGAAATATAAGCATGAAGAACATAAAAGGTTCAGTATAATCCATTTTATGGCTATGAATCTTATGCAAAAAGCTTAATGAAAAGTGTATATTTAGTACTTGTACAGTGAATAACTGACCTGTGGGCAGTATATTCTGATAGTAATCGGTATATTCAAATTCAAATGTAATTAAAATGATAATTAAATAGTGTATTTACAGTTGCTTTTCCAATATAAGTGTGCATTATTTAAGATTTCTGTGTATAATGGCTGGAAAAAGCCATTAAGCCATAAAGAGCTGACCAATCAGAGCACATTAGGCTCACTGGGAGACGGGGCTTAAACACACAGGAGCTGACAGAGTGTTTCTGAGCGTGAATAGAGATGTACAGTATGAGAAAAAATAATGTGTTTTTGAAACATGAAACCCTGTAAATCTATTCTAGCAGACCCCCAAAAATAAAATTATGAATGTTGAAAATGACCATAATAGGTCCCCTTTAAGACATAGTTTAAGACAAATGTGTATTTGTGTTTGCATTTCTGTGTATAAAGGCTCTGTTTACAATTGCATTTTCACTGTCAACAGGGGCTTGCTGTCAATCAAATGCTGTGGGCAGGATGTCGGGAGGGACTTTTTAGTGCACAGGCGTGCTTTAAGAGCAATTGATGTAAATGTGTAAACTTTGGCGGAACTGGTGCATTAGCGACTGCTGCTAGTGACATGTTAACACCTGCCAACCAGGTCAAGGATAATTCAGTTCAAAGTGATTCTTGAACTCTCGACTACAAGAGCTTGTGGCTGCACCAGTGTTAGTGACACTGTGTCCAGCTTTATACCCCGGGGCATTAGAAACGTAGCTAGCCGGTTAGCAGAAGCCTATTGTGGATTGCGATCGTAACATTACAGCCTGTAAATCCACCTCTACACTTGAGCATTGTTCGACTTCTAGTAATAGAAAAACCCATCGCCATATTTCCACACTATTTTAGGAAGAGTGGACCTGCAGCTGATTAGCAAAACCACTATAAAGAAGCCCACACCTCAGCACTGGGTCTATGGCTTAACTACAGCCAACAGCTCTTGACTTGACTCCACACTTGAACACTCATAGTACCTACCTTGTTTGATTTAAACATCACAAATCCACAAATAATAATATATACTGACAGGTTGTGAACCTGAATCTCCAATTGGGCCACGCAGATTGGAAATGCCTCATCCTTCAGGTGTAAGAGCTGCGAAAATCCAGCATCGAACTGCACATGGATTCTGAAGCAGTCCTAGTGGGTGAAGTGTCGGGCATACCGCAAAATGTTTGGAACAGCAGTCAAAATACATTTCAACCACTGACTTCTTTGCTGTTCTACCTTTGGCAAAGCATACAAAGGAGATGTGCAGAACACAGCATCACAACATTTCCCAGCCCGTGCGTTGTGTGAGGGCGTGCCAAGCTTGACAGTAGGCAAGGAATAAGGATTGTGTTACAAGATGACGTCACCTTGTAATAGAGAAAATGGGCTGGAATTCCAAGGAGGCATTTCAGGCAGCTGAGAGAAGTGGTTTCTAAAGGGAGAGAGTTTCTTCCTCTTCTGTGTGCTTTGAGCTTTAAGACTTTGCAGACCATTTTCAAGCACAAAAAGCTATAATTACACACTAAAGGAAAGGGAAAAAAAACTGAAAAAGATAATAGTTCCCCTTTAAATGATGCACACTTACATGGGGAATGCAATTTTACATAAAACATTTAATAAGCATTTTCAAATTTGCATTTCAAGTTTCAGACTATAGGCCTGATCAGTACATTCATGTTCAAACTGTGGGCTTCCTGTCTTACAGAGAACCTCCAAAGATTCATTAAACGAACAGCAATTACACTAGAATATGCTGTGATAACTGCTTTCTCTTATCCAGGTACGTATACATGATTTTTATTTCAAAGTGCAGTTAATTCATAAATTGTATGTACATGCACTGACTGCCACCTCCTTGTATCTACACTTACCATATTGATGCACTTTGTACTTCAGCCTGTAGTCCATACTGTGTTTGCCCCCTGCGTACTTTGTTAGTAACACTGTATGCAGTAACACTGACGTGGTGGTGGTGGTGTGTTAGTGTGTGTTGTGCTGGTACGAGTGGATCAGACACAGCAGCGCTGCTGGAGTTTTTAAACACTGTGTCCACTCACTGTCCACTCTATTAGACACTTCTACCTTGTCAGTCCATCTTGTAGATGTAAAGTCTGAGACGACAGCTCATCTGCTGCTGCACAGTTTGTGTTGGTCATCCTCTAGTCCTGTGTCAGTGCCGATACGACGCTGCCCACAGGACGCTGTTGGCTGGATAATTTTGTTGGACTATTCTCAGTCCAGCAGTGACACTGAGGTGTTCAAAACCTCTGTGTCTGATCCACTCGTACCAGCGCAACACATACTAACACGCCACCACCACGTCAGTGTCACTGCAGTGCTGAAAATGATACATCACCCAAATAGTACCTGCTCTCTGGTGATTCTGTGGGGCTCCTGACCACTGAAGAACAGGGTAAAAGGGGGCTAACAAAGTATGCAGAGAAACAGATGGACTACAGTCTGTAATTGTGGAACTACAAAGTGCACCTATATAGTAAGTGGAGCTGATAAAATGGACAGTGAGCGTACAACAATTAACACTATGAAAACTGCTTACCTAAAACACACACTTGCCCGAAAGACATTGTTTAGCTAAGTAATACAGATTGTAAATAAACAAACGCAAACAGAACCACATGCACAATGACAAGACAGATAACACATTCATAGTAAGTTACACTGGCATTATATTTACTACAAAAATTTCAAAATGAAATCTTAAGATTATCAATATTTCCAGTGTCCATAAAAGTAATGGAATCTGTCTGTTTTGAATGAAGTAAAAGGAAAACATAACATTGCTCTGACACCAGCACACACTCAGCTGTGAGAGGAAATGAGAGAAGCTGATTTGATTGGATAATGCTGTAGTTTGCCTAACCATACCTGTTAATATTCTCTTCAGCCTCATTTTTGTACTCGTGCTATGACTACAAAAATAGGGCCCAATGTCAGTAATAGAATAGTCAGGGTTCTTGCTGATCTGACAATTAAGGTCTGTCCTTAGAAGAGACATTTAAGGCCCAATCCCATTTCACCCCTTGCCCCTACCACTTAGCCCTTAGCCCTCTGTTTTGCGCATTCACTTCTAGGGTTAGGGTGTCCCAATTTTTGTTGAGATAGAGGGGTGGGGTGATGTGTTAGGGCTACATGGCCCTCCAAACAGAGTGTTATGAGAAAAAAAGAAAAAACAGCAAGTTGGCTGCACGTGCGACCAAAGAAACCCACAGTATTTTTTACATTAAAAAATTACGACAACCATTGTATTATAAAATCGCTAACAACATGCTAATGTCTCGGTAGCTTGCTAGCTAACTTTCCCTTTCCACCTTAAGTAGTCCATCAGTATTGATGCCTAAAGCGCCAGAATGTAACTGCTGCACCATTTAAGGTGGAACAGGAAAATCTCAACAAGAAGCTGGTGAATAGCTTCAGCTTCGTATCACCAAAGAATTAGAGGTGGGCGATAATAAATAATTGTCGTATCCCCTCTTTGAAAGCATGTTACCCTAATTTTAACTAAAGCCCAGCAGTGATGTTACTGAACTTTACCCTCCTCTGCTGTCACTGCAGACTGGCAGAGTCGCCTACAGAGCACCACTAGTAGCCTGTTAATGAAGCAGTGTTTTTTTTTTTTTTTTGAATTTGAGGGTTGTCCCATTTCGTAGGGTAAGATTTCAACCACTACCCCTTGTAACTCAGTTCCAAGGGGTTAGGGTGACACTCGAAAACAAGGGGTAGGGGTAAAAAGAAGAAATGGGATTGAGCCTAAGAGTATTGTTTTTTGTTCTATTTCTACTTTAGGTCTGATTGTGCGCTTATGGGACATATATCAGAAAGACAATGATTACAGAGTGCTGCTGACAATAATTTTTCTGATGTTACTGCTGCTTGCATTGTGCATAAGAACCTTTATACAAGGTAGGAATTACAGTTTTTATTGCAATGCATTAAAGCAACACTATGTCAGTTTTGGGGATTGGGAGACCTCTTTGGTGTAGGTGTGTAATTGCATGCATGGTGTAGAAGAACATTTAGTAGCGTGGGTTGTGCTCCGTCCCCCTTCCCCGAGCGAATTGACCTCTCTTCACTGACACACTGAGAACTGGTCAGGGTTGCCAGATTGGGGAAGATGCTGCATGATAGCATCGTGGTGCTTGATATGACAATATTTGTTTATCAGTGATTTTGTTGTAGTATTTTTTCAGGACAAGTTTATTAATATTTATTATTACTATTACTTCTACTACTAATAGTAATAATAATAATAATAGCAGTAAGTGTAATAATAACAATAAATAACTATATAACTATTTAAAAGTGCCTTAATCGTTAGTGTTTTTTTTCCCTTAATTTATATTGAATATTATAAACATTTCAGCTTGATCTGCAATGTTTTTATTAATGACCTCTCCTCACAGATTCTAATTTTCATGTTTTATTTTTTAAAAAAGGTCTTACAAGCATCATCAAGAATGAAGGATTAATAAATTATCATCTAACAGAAGTCATTAATTATGGACGAGGGGTTGTTATTGTTGTGATATATAACTTTATTACCAGTAAGTAAACAGTTTCTGTTCTTTTTTGACTCGACAGTATTTGTTTTTTCTTAGTATTGTTGTAATGCACATTCATGTTTGTTAAGATCTAAATCTAAAACACATTATTTTTATATTTCATTTTTAATTTTACAGCCTTTTTGTGTAATGCAAAATCTCTATTGATTTTCAGTCTTAATCATATCTGATTGGCATGAGAAGTGTCTATGTTGAAGCATTTTCATATTCATACACCGTGGAACCTCAGAAAGTAGGAGATAATATGTGAAAGATCCATATGAAGTAATTACATCAGCACAAAACGTTTGAGCATGAAAATTAATCAGAGTTTCTGATCAGGCAAAAGCATCTAACGTAATTATCATTCTCTCATTTTCAGCTAATGTTGTGCTAGCATGGCTGCCAATCCTGACAGTGTGTTTTTCCTTCTGCAGATGTCAAGGTGAGTAGGGCACTGCATATTCTTGTATGATTTTATTTAGTTGTCAAAGGAAAACCATGTTTCATTACATCCTTGTGGAGGATGCTTTGGATCATGCAAGGTGCAGTATTATTAACACCTACCGGTCAAAGGTTTTAGAACACACTCATTTTTCCGAGTTTCTGAAATCATAGCGTAGAACAAATAAACAATTGGAGGTAAAAAAAAACTCTTTAATCATTGCACTCGAAATCCACTCTGGGTTTTCTATTTCCCACTCCTTGCCCACTCCTTGCTCACACATCAGAGAAAACCCACTCCATGCCCCCTTGAAATGATTCATTCGTTCATGGTATTTGTTATATGTCTTGAATGTAGGTGATAAGACACTACACTTTTTATTCCATTAATTATATAATTTATGGCCGTTATTAAACTAAAAACTAGTGAAACATTCTTACATACACAGGCTTTTTTCAGTAGGTATAGGCTTGAAATGATGGCCCAATAACACATCAAAAAACTGCAGAGGGTAAACAAACCCAACATGCTTTTACCATTTTACCACCATCCTCTTTACCATTCACGCCGCAAAATGGATGGAAATTGACTGCGGTCATTGGGCTGGAGGTTAAGGAACCAGCCTTGTGACCAGAAGGTCGCTGGTTCGATCCCCAGAGCTGACAGTACATGACTGAGGTGTCCTTGAGCAAGACACTTAACCCCCAACTGCTCCCCAGGCACTGCGGATAGGGCTGCCCACCGCTCTGGGCAAGTGTGCTCACTGCCTCCTAGTGTGTGTGTGTGCGCTCACTAGTGTGTATGTGGTGGTTCACTTCACAGATGGGTTAAATGCGGAGGTGAAATTTCCCTGTTGTGGGACTAATAAGGGTCACTCAATCTTAATCTTTGCTGTGACCGGAGAATTTCCAGTTTAGGTCTGCTAAAGGGTCAGCAGTGCAGAACGCTGTGTTTGAATGGCTGTGGTGTGCGAGCTGTAGCTGTCACTGCCACTGACACTTCGACTTTCTGAAAAGCTGGTCAATGCTCCTGGCAAAATCACGTCGCTCCACTCCCTGCTCTGTTCCCACTCCTCACCACTCACATACTCTGACACAGACAAAGGGTTTCTAAGTAATCAACAAACTGTTGGGAATCAACTTTGCATCAACTTTTTAAAGCTTATTTTACTTTCACTGTTAGTTGTTATTTGACAGTTAGTATAGAATTATAGGATTATTTTGGAGGTCAGTAAGGCTGTGTTTAATTCCGGTTATTATAGAAGTTAAAGGACATATTAGGGCAAAATCGGACTGCTTCTGCCCAAACTCAAAACCCCTTTCGTCATTGAATCTTTCAAAATAACAGTGATCAAAAGCCTTTCCTCACAAATATCCGTACATTAATGACCCACAAGATGCACAACCAAGCCTTTGCAGTGGCTATTCCATTTCCCTGACTTAAACCGTGGGGGATATTAATATTGATATTGATCAGATGTAAATACATTTATTTTGTCAACCATTTTTTGGTTCATGTTAATTATGTCTGTCACCAATTCATAAAGAGGTGTTTAGTTCTGGTTGGCAGGACAGTTAGTTTAAAACTGTAGGATTATTTTGGAGGTTAATAAGGCTGAGTTTAATTCTGGTTAGCCTGACAGTTAGTACAGAAAAATAGGCTATATGAACATAATGTATGTTCAAAGTCCATTTTTTTTCTTGTGCAAAAACCAATAAAGGCCTTAAAAATTTTTAGTACATTACTCAAATGTATAAATGTATAATAATAAACAGAAAATTCAAATAAGAAGCTGACGAATAGTGAACCAACTTCAGCTTTGACTCGTCTTGGTATTTGTACATTCCTTCCATACTGTGAAATTTAGGGTAACAATTTCAGGAATCTTCCACACTTTATGTAGGTGTATGTAAACTTTTGACCCACTGGACATCAGATACAATGAATCTGAAATAAATCAGTTGTTTTAAAATGATCTTTGATGCGAACAAAGCAGATGCCCTCATGGACTTTACAAAAGAAATGAAAGACAACATGAATTGTGAATCTCTGAATCTCTGAAGTTTGAAATGTTCACCTGTGCGGCTCTTCCTTAGATGTGAAATGCCAAATTCAATGTGCACCGCATGTAACACCATATCAGTGTATTGAAGAGATGTACTTGGATTTCCATGGGAGTAGCTGTACTGTTTGTCTGAACTAGTCGTGAACACTTTCGTCTAACTTTTTGTTTGCTTTTACACAGGCCTCTTCAATAGAGGATCAAAGGGTAAGTCTAAATCCACATTGCTTAAAAAGTTTTACGTCAGTTATTGTACTTGTACAATAACTGACAATAATTGACTTTTGGCATGTCAGTGTATAACAACAGTGGATTAGTTATTAATGTAAATAATGTTGTAATGTTGTGATTTATTTTTAAAGAGTGGATGAGAGAATAATAGCACTTGAAAGTGTTTAGCTTTGAAAACTTTTGTATTTTGTCTTTTGCAGTTTTGATCTGGATGTCAGTTCTGTTAATCTTGGAGGTCATAAGCGCATCATCATCAGTCTACATTCAAAATGTTTCACTGCAGACTCATAAAGGTAGGTAACTGTACTATTTCATTAACCTTGAATATGAGAAGAAACAGTTTTTCACTGGATATTGGATGATAAATATGGACATGGTGTAGATGGGACCTTACATCCTACCCCACCACTAGCTCTTTCTTTTTCATTTTTTTTCTTTAATCTTTTTTTTCTTCCAGTTGATTAGTTGTTTGTATACAGATAGGACTAATCATAAAACAGGGGAACACAAAGAATGGCGTAATTAATAAGCAGTGATCAGAGGACAGTGCTGGCTAGACTTCTAAACTAGCTGACAACATGGACCAGAAAAAATGAAATAAGACACATCGGGCCAAATTCATAAAATGCAGAGATTTGATGGGACTCGTTCATAAACGAGGACTACTGAGAGTTTTACCACGTTGAGTGATATAAGGTGTGGCCTTGCAGTAAATTGAAAATCACTCTAGATAAGATTGTATGTTAAACGTATAAACATTAGTGGACCTTGCATTTAAATCATACCCCCTTGTCTGTCGTTGCCCTGTTAAAGCTTCTGAATTAATTCTCATAATTTCTCAGCTGACTGCTTCTTTATCGGGAGCATATTATTATGTTTATGACTCAGTTATCTATATATCTATATATATATATATACACACATACATATATATATATATATATATATATATATATATATATATATATATATATATAAATATCGTATCTCCAAAATTGTAACTTTACAGGAGAAGGAAAAAACATACTTTACTTTTAATGTAAGTAAATGGAACCGGACTTTTTTCCAAGTCATTTTGGGCCGTTTCTTTTGGTCCATTCGTCATGAAATTTACAAACAATGTAAAGAACAACATAAAGGACAAAAATTCAGATACAAGGTTTTCTTCCGACAACAGCGCTATATATATTGTATCATTTGATTTTTAAAAATATTTTTATATATAAAATAATAAAATAATAATCGTAAAAATACTTTTTTCTTCTTGCAGAACGTGGAGGACTGACCTGTGTGGCTGCATATCTCCACATTTTGACTGGGATGTTATTCTTTAATGCATTGTTTTATGTTTATGGTACGGTATTCATTATTTACTCTGATCTTTTTCAGAAAGTTCTGCTGGTGGAGCAAAATAATAATGAATATTTGCCGTAATTAATCAAAGTTGTGCATGAATGGCCACAGTTTGGAGGGCCCTGAATAATGTACAAACCACTCCATATTTAATTCATAAAATATGCAATAGATGAATCAGCTGCACCCGCTTCCCTTATTTACATATCATCCCACACTCCAGTTTACTTTTATATACCTGAAATTCACATGAAACGTGTTCTGATTCATGCAGGTACAGGCCAGTTAAAGAAAAGTATTCAGCGGGCTCATGATCCAGCGCTTACTATCTATGAAAAATCCACCCAGTCACATAATACTGTTTCACATGCAAGCACAAAATTGAGGTTTTCTAGCAATATTGTTATTATGTTCTATACAGTAATGTTATTACTGTTATAAAACAGTTTGAGTATGTAACCACAAGTCAAGCAGGCTGGTAAGATAGTAAGCTTAGTTCAACCAGACATGAATTTGATTGTACAGATACCACAAGGGTGAAATTTGTGGCTAGATTGTACCATGATAACGGGCTGAGCCCACGGCCCATTTAACATGGTCACATCCTGTCCTCTAGATTCCAGAGTGCTTCCACTCTAGACAGTAAAAAAAGGACAGTGTGCCAATTCAAACCTCAAAAAAGTGTCATTTGAAATGACAAACTTTCACAGTGAAAGTGCTGCTTTACTGCTTCACTGTAATCTTTGCTTTTTGTGAATGTAACACTTTTAGCCACATTTATTCATTAATTTGCTAATATTCATTTCCAGATTTTACCTTTACTTCTGGAGTTTAATGTGTACCCCAGCACATCTTTCCGTTTGTGGTTAAATGCCAAATCACTCGCAGTCGACTATGCAAGCCAAATGTGTTCAGATAGGAATGACTGGAGTGATAACGTCACTGCTAGTCAACTCTTTCAACTTTACTCGTTTCTTTTATTTACACAGATAAATCTCATGCGGAACAGACGAGGCGATCAGTAGGTAAGTACAAATCCACATTTTTATCGTTAAACGGTTCAGGTTCACAGCAGCTCCTTTAAAGACTATCTGAGACAGAATCAAGCAAACCATTAAATATATCTTCATTGCGTGTTTGTAAGAGAAAACTCCTGAAGTGTGAAGATAATAAACTAGTATGTGTTAAAGCCGTGTTGCTGATCTGAGAATAGTTAACGTGTTTCTGTTCAAAGGACATTTTCTAGTATTAATAACTCTGTCGTTTTAAACACTTATGTGCTTGTAATGTTTAGGAAATGTAGTTCAGTAGTTCTTGTTTTTAAGGAGGAAACAGTAATGACACAATGAAGTATCTGTCTAGTCTCTAATGCCAACTTCATAGTTTATGTTTTTGAATGGAAAATATGTTGCCATGTTGTCGTTTTCCCTTAATTCACTCTTATGTGAAGTACGAGATGAAAACATGTCATTAACTGTCCTGAAATTCTGTAGAAAAGCTGTATGTGTTGAAACGTTGGACGTGAGTGTCCTTGCAGTAGAGGCGGGCGATATAGCAAAAAAATCACAATACTTGTTCACGATACCTATGATGATTGAGACAGATACAAAGCAGTAGTAGTGCCACATTTGAAAACTGATATCAAAAGTCTTGGCCCAGTGATTTTTATTCAACATTTCACATACTGTACGGCACCAAAACCAAAACTGGACAAATTACAGTCTTTCTTAATGAAACTTGCAGTTGGTCAGTGTTCTGTAAGTACTGACGATATCCACAATATGCTCAGAAAAGCATATTGTGTATCATGATAATAATGATACAATATATTGTCATAGTTCCCACTTATACTTTGCGGCACTTTCAATGAAATTAAATTAGATTAAATTTTAATTTTAATGAAATTTCACTGGCGAAGGCTAGTGTTACTGGGTCTTAGCTCCTTTGAACTCAGACTCCCAAATGGACTATGGGTAATATTGTTCAAGTTCATCATATAAAGAACGTTTCTTGTGTTAGCACACACCATCCCTTATTTTACTTTAAAGGGTGATTCCAGGTCTCAAACTATTCAATGCTGTAAAATCCTTATAAAACACCCACATATATGAGCATGCATACTGAATTCTGTACTAATGTGGACATTTTTTAAAACCTGCTCAAGGTGAACTCCAGTGTCACATTTCAATTTAGGTGTAATACATTGGGTTAGATTAAATATTAACTGAAAAACGAAATACTTATTTCTTGCTGTTAGTACATTGGTTCGCCATATCGGCATTTGACCATTTCTGATGTAAAGCAATTTTTCCTGAACCTGTGCTGTTATACTGAATGAGTCCTTTTGTTCTACCCCAAAATATTCCTCTAGTACCATATCTATTCACTCTGAAAAAGCTTGTTATTGCTGAAATCCTTGTCTATTAAATTCAACACAATGAAGAACTGCCAGTGAAATATAACTGGGTGTCATTGCATATTTAACTGGTTTACACTCATATTCTTTGTAACTGAACTATATTCTGCACTCGCTAGTTGAGATCAGCAGTTTGCTCTTAGGCTAACAGGCTGCTTCAGTAATATCAAGAAACAGGGTTTCCGGAATGAGTCACAGCCAAACTGCATATAGGATAAAGACTATGTTACATGAATGCCTGCTTCACATCCCCATGCATAAGTCAGAATGGGTATCAAATGTGATTATACATCACTGCTAGCTTGGCGCTAGCTTGGTGTCCCTTGTGTTGTTGTTAGTGGGAACCAGAAAATAAACAGCATTATATTTGGCTACAACACATTACAGTAAAAACATTCAGCTGAAAGTGAATTAAATTGATTATCCACAACAGTGATCTGAGGTGTGTGAGGTATGGTAAAATTTTATTTATTTTTTTTTCCCAGTTTTATTTTTTTCACATTCATTATATTACTTTTTGGAGGTAACTGTGGCCAACACTGATCTCAGGTCACAGCATCCAAGTTATACCTAGCTCAGATAGTCATCTTCTGTAGGAAGCAAGCCCTGTCAACTTTTTTCGTGGTGATTTTGGAAGTAACAGAGAATAAATGTTTAACTGAACCACACACACACACACACACACACACACACACACATTATCTTAGCTGCTTATCCTTCTGGGTCGCAAGGGGTGCTGGAGTCTATCCCAGAGGTCATTGGGCGGAAGGCAGGATACACTCTGGACAGGTCGCCAGTCCATCACAAGGCAGGCACACAGACATATACATTCACACACCATTCACACCTAGGGGCAATTTAGCGTCTCCAGTTCCCCTGACTGCATGTCTTTGGACTGTGGGAGGAAACCCACGGAGACACAGGGAGAACATGCACACTCCACAGGCCCTTTTTGCTGTGAAGCGGCAGGGCTCAGCGCTACCCACTGCACCACCGTACTGTCCTTAACTGAACCAGTTTTATTTGTTTACTTTTTGGAAGTAACTACTGCCATCTTTGATCTCCAGAGATTGACTCTACAGTCACAGAGCCACAGCGAACATCAGGTAAGTGTAAAACTCTGTTTTCATGCTCTGGCTGATTCAACTAATCTGATCTTTAATAAGCCCTTCCTAAAACACTTAAGTATGTAGGACAGACATACACTAAGGCCAGGGTTTGGAACCAGTGGGCCAGACAAATGAACAGGTCTGCCTTACCTTTCCTGTCATTGGTCTGTCAGAATCTGTCCATAATGACACTTGAGTAATTTTGTTTAAATTTGCTTTAAATTAAAATTAGAATTAAATCACTTTTACTTTTCCAAAGTATGTTTACTTTGCTAGTTTAATTTTTAATAATGTTACATTCATTTTGATTTTCGAAGTGAGAATAAATAAAAACATCCTCTACAGGGAACACACTTCTGCACATTTTAATACACAATTACTGTTTATTTGCTGAATTTAACATAGAAAATGTGCAAATTTATGGCATGTTTATATTTATTTATATATATTTTCCTAATTTGTTAAACTCAGCAAAAAAGAAATTGTGCACTGAAGTTAGTAGAAAATGCTCATTTAAATTAGTTCCCTGTAGAAGATTTCACTCAACAAAACATGGTGTTCAAGCCTTTGCAAATGACTGCGTTCATTAAACTTATGTTTAATTACTTATGTTAGTTATTGCTAATGCCTGTTAGCAATATGTTTTTAAAGTATAAACCAAAAAATAGACTCAACAGTAGCAAACTCTGCATTGTCTTTCAGGATTCCATACTACTTTGTTGAAACTGCATGTAGTTTAATATAAACCGTACTCCTTACACATTTCACAGAAAGATGTGTAAATACTGGGAACTAGCAGAACATACTGTAAACAGTCTCAGGACACATTTTTTGTCATGTAATATCGTGATTTGCCTTGTACAGGTTATTTCTCGTAATATAGCTGACTCAACTCAGAAATATTTTAAAATCAAAACTTATTTACTTTTACTTGAGTAATTTCATTGATTAGTAATTTAACTCAAGTAAATTGTTATAGCAGTAACAGTCCTCTTACTGTTTTAGTACTCTTTCTACCATTGGTCCAGACTGAGGTATTCTTCTTATATTTATTAATCTTGTTTATTATTATTATTATATTATTATTATTATTACATGGGTTATACGTTTGTATGCAAAAGTTTCGGGCACATTTGGTCAAATTACATGTTGTGTTGATTTGTGAAAATACGTTAATATGTCCTCTACAGAGAAGACACTTCTGAACATTTTAATGCATGTTTACTGTTCATTTAAAATGTATTGTTCATTATTGGGGAAAAATAAACATTAAATGTGGCCTTTGCAAAAGTCATGGCACATTTTATATTGTATGTTCTGTTTTTAGTGTTTAATATGTTAAATAAACAGAAATTGTACATTAACATTTTCTGAAAAATGCCGTTTGTTCTCTATAGATGTGTTAACTTACTTTCACTTAAAAGATCAATAAAATATGTCATTTGAGCAGGGGTGCTAAAACTTCTGCATACAACTGTACATTGCAAACCATGTAATACAATGTGCCCCATTGTACCCTGAAGAAGTTCACACTATTTCAACACTTGACACATCAGTTCCAATCTAATACTATGTCAAACAATGAGTAGTGAGTAGAGCAGGTTGAAGGAACCCTGTTTGGTTTTGTTCATATACAGTTGTGACAAAAAGCTGTAATTGTATTATTTAATTCAATCGTGCCATATCTACATATACAGAACAAAGGGTTTAAACCCATAGTTCCCAACCACAGTCATGGAGTGCAGCTGTCCTGCACATTTTAGTGTTTACAATCTTATTTCAACTCAGGAAGGGTTTGTTAATGAGCTGAGTAGTTGTTTCAAGTGTCTTAGAGCAGGAAAAAAACAACTTGGCACACAGTACATTTTATACCGTAAAATATTTTAGAAACCTCTCTTCTTAAAATTAAACCAAGTCTTATATTACAGGTCATGCCATTGTGTACATGCTGGGGGCAGTGGGTCTCAGTTTTGTGAATTCTGTTGCACTGGCAGTAGAACTGATTCTCAAAGCACGTAAGTGAGATCAACAGTGTTTACCAGCAATGATGATCATTTAAATATACAACCAGTGCATTTTTGTATCCCATGTAAACAGAATATGCACATAACAGTAACTCCACTCCATGATCTTACTGGTAATGTTGCAAAATATAGCTTAATTGCAAAAGTGATACTAAATAATGATGGATTATCCTTTACTGCAAACTTCAATTCCAAAACTTTGGGACAGTATGTGAAATACTAAAAAAAACACAGAAAGCAGGGATGAGTAAATTCAGTTTGACATGATTTGAAATTGAAAACAGTACAAAATTATAGTTTTTGATGTTGCTAAGAAGTTGTAACAGAAGCATGTTTACCACTGTTTTATATCACATTTCCTTTTAACACTTAATAGTTGTTTAGGGACTGAAGACACCAATTGATCCATAGGAGTCCAAGTCGAATTTTTTGCTGTTCTGTCTTCAACTGTGCAACCATACAGGGTCTTTGTTGTTGTATTTTGCTCTTATAATGCGCCACACATTTTCAATAGATAGATATGTTCTGATTCGGTAGGGCGGGAGTTCTGGACTGCAGGTCTAGCACCCGTACTCTCTGGTTGTGCAGCCATGCTTTTGTAACTAAGCATGTTGAAATAAGCACGTCCTTGAAAAAAAGTGTCTAGAAAGCAGCATATGTTGCTCCAAAATGTCTCACTGTTAATCATACCAGACCTTGACAGTGCCTTTTGAACTTTTAACCTACCCTCATGTTGGTAACAGTCTGGATGGACCTTTTCTTCTTTGGCCAGAAAACATATTAAAAATTAATATTAATATAAATGATCTGAAAGGTTGACTCGTCAGATCACATTACACTTTTCCACTGTGCTTCAGTCCATTTCAGATGAGCTTGATCCCAGAGAAGTCAGCAGTGTTTCTGGGCATTGTTGACATCCATTGTGCATAGAACACAGTTAGGGATGGAATTGATAAGATTGTATTGATAGCAGTGCCATTATAGACTCAACAGTCAAATTCTTTAACAATTCTCTTGTTGATTCCTGCTTGGTTTTCTGTGTGGAAAAAAGTAGGTTGACACAGGTTTTCAGCATCAATGCAGCTGTTTTATTACCTTGGACCTTTGTTAAAATAAATTACAGTGCTTCTTTATTTTAAAAACAAAACCTAAACTTGCTCGTGCTGTGTCTACAGATATCAGTGTAGATTTTAACATATTGCTGGTGTTTACACCCTTACTTGAAATGATCATTCTACAGATACTGCAAACAGCACTGATGTCATTTTTCTTATCATCTGAAATGAAGCTACACTTCGGTCCGCTTCTTCCTCTCTTCATGTTTCCAGCGGTGCAGACGCAGAGTGTAAAGTCATGATATGAGTTTTTGAAATGAGCTCCTGTCAGGAAAACATGCCGCCATCAATATAAGGAACTGATGAATTTGGAGGTGTACTATTTCGATGCATCGGAGAATTTTGGAACTGGAATCGGTTCAGTACAGTCTTAATTTACATTTGTGGATACAGCAATGAGCCCATGTGGTGATATCCATTAAAGAAGCGTGTTGGTTTTTAATGCATTGCCGTCTGAGGGGTCGAAGGTCATAGACATTCGGACGTTTTTGTGGATTCCCTGAATCTTTTAATAATGTTATGCACTGTTGAGGGTGAAATACCTAAAATCCTTGCAATTGTCTTTGAGGACTGTTGTTCTTAAACTGTTGGATTATTCGCTGTCGCATTTTTTGGTAAAGCAGGAAGCCTCGACAGTCTTTGCTCATGGCCCTTGCTCCTTTTTACTCAAATGTGATTTATTTAAGTAAATTTTTAAGTTTATTTAAGTTTATTTAAGCAGTATTTATTTAAGATATTTTCACATATTTCAACATTTCACGATGTTCCTAATCTTAAATTGGCCCTGTCCCAACTTTTTAGAACATGTTACAGGCATTAATTTCTTAATGAGTTTATTTGAAAAAAACAATGAAGTTGATAAAGTAAAACATTAAATATCTTTTTTTTGGTACTGTTTTTGCCAGGTTGAAGTGTATTTAAAAATATATTCTTCTTCTTTTTACTTGCATTTCACATACTGTCCCGACTTTTTTTGGAATACAATAACCTCAGGAAATTTAAGTAGAAGAATTATTCATTTATTTCATTAGCATAATTTCCATTTAAATTACGTTATTGTTATGTTTTGCAGGCACAGATGTGTGTAAAGAAACTTTGTTAGTAAAAATCCTTTTGATCCCGTTCTTTTTTTATTAATATTATCCATTAGGAAATGGTGAGCGTACAGTGGAAGACCTGCGAGTCATTCTCATACCCTCTGAATGTATCTTTGCTATATGCTGCCTTATGCTACAAATATCTGCATTCTGTAAGTATAATTATAAACACTGCACAGTTTGTAATCTCACATTCAACACAAAGTTTAACTTTGCTCTCAAATTCCCAAATTACCTGTATATATATATATATATATATATATATATATATATATATATGACAAATGCTTCATTCATTCATTCATCCTCTATGCCGCTTATCCTCCTGGGTCGCGGGGGGGATACTGGAGCCTATCCCGGCGCTTATTGGGTAGAAGGCAGGAAACACCCTGAAATATACGTCATGAGTCCAAATTAATAATCAAATTATTCTGCCTGTAGTTTGTAGACTTTATGCAGGGAGATAAAAACAATAAAAAAGAAAAGAGAAAGGAAAAGAGCTTGTGGTAGGGGAGGGATCTCATATGTGAGATCCCATCTACACCATGTCCATATTTGGATCATCTAGTATCCAGTGGAAAACTGTTTCTTCTCACAACCAAAGTTATAGGCGCAGTATACGATTCTGGAGAGCGATTGTTGCTACAACAATAGCTAGGTTGTTGCTACTGTGAAGCTAACCAGTTACAAACATTAGCAACAGGACAAAACCATACTGCCCTATCGGTTCTCTGAAACAGCAAAAATAAGTTACCCACCTGTCAAGCAGAGCATCTTCCTCGTACCTTTTTATGCCTTTTCAACTCTCGATAAAGGTGAAGCTTCTTTTTTGCCAGCTTCTTGATCAAACTTTTCACTGTTGTCACTGTTGGAACAAAACCTCAAAATTGTAACTTGTATTTTTATCAGTTCAGCTACCACAGAAGTGTATTTCTGCTTAATACTGTATAGATAATGTAATCTTTTTGAGATTTTGCTGGCTTTTCATTATCTGTGGCAAAGTTTTCTTTTTTTCCAGCTTTCAATTTTAAACAAAATTCATAAGCAAATTTCAGGCTTGATGAATAAAAAAGTGGATTATAATGATTTGGATATTAGAACAGTGCTGTAATGTGAAAAGACAAAAAAGAAACAAACTGGAAACTTGATATAAACTAAAATTTATGCAGATTTGAAATTTATGCAGATGTGACAGGTCCTCAGCTAGAATGCATTTATTTTTTATACAAATGTATTTACTGCTATTGCACATGAACATGAAAAGGTTATAACTGTATTGGTCTCTTTGTCTCTGTCCCTCTGCTACAGGGCGGACAAACAGAGAAAAGTAAGTTTATATTATAGAGTAATATAGACTTAAAAAAAGTTTCATTCCTTAGCAGTTTGATTCACAGAATACATTCATGAATTATTTTTGCTCTCACTGTGACAGCTTGATGGACGATCTAAGGGACTTGTGTCAATTGTTTGGGTGTAAACAGGCGTCAGTGGTGAGTATGTTATTTTAGCATTTTAAAAAAGCAATATATGCAAATTGTCCATTAAAAAAACAAATGTACTTGTAGAGAATGCAGGTACACCGATTTTATATTACTTGCTGGCAGTACTTTATGATTTACTGGAATTAACTAAAGGAAAATTAACTGGAGATTATCTTTTTGTTTTATTTTATTCACACAAAGTTTTCTTCTATTCCTGTTTCAATAATCCATCAAAGAGCCAATCATGTAAAACTGCCAATCAAATTTCCAAATTGCTACTTATTGCTCATTTAAGATTTGATTTGTTTGAGTATCGCAACCACTTCTCAGTAAAGTTTTCTTTGCAAATATTAGTGCAGTATGTATATCAGATAACAATATTGTCTTTGATTGTAGTGTCAAGTTTAAAATGTCATATCTTACCTTAAACGCAGGACTCACCAGTACACAATCATGAACTACAGGCTATACCGTCTACGGAAGCTGCTCCTGCTCCTTAGGAGGTAAGATGGAGATCGCATTCTTTATACTATCAATATAAGATGTTGACTGAAAAGGATTTCAGACACCTGTATTTCACAACAGACCATTTGCAGAGTTCTGAGAAAATCTCATCTCACAGCTGTTTTTGCTGTGTCAGTCGAACTGTCAATGCAGGCTACCTGGTAGCATTCGGAGCACTTGTGCTAAATTGGCTTATGAGCTGAGCAGTACAAAGGAAACTTCGGAAATATATAGAGAACATTTTATTATTCAAAACTAATCTGGCTTTGATGTTCAGTGCAAATATACATGTTTGAGAATTAACAAAACATGCATGTAGGACAATTTAAAGCCAACAAAAAAATCTTTAAACCATGTTTACATTAAATAAAGCAGGGAAATTTTTTAGCCACTCAACTGTCTGTGCGGTCAAACTCTCGTCTGGTAGGAGTGCGTATAAATTTCACATAATAGTTCAACAACCTGAATAAAAAAAAAAACTTCAATGATTTGTGGTGAACTAACCAAAGCTATTATCGATATTATCTATAATACCACTACTAAGAATTAAAAATAATACTACAATAACAATAATACGTTTAGTAATCCAGTACAAACATAAATATACTTATTCAATATGCACATTGATAGAAACAACTATTCCATGTTCCATTTAAAGACATATTACACCGTGCTTTTGTTTTATAATACTGACTCCACACAAAAAAATAAAAAACACAACTGGTGCAGAAGTATCGCAAACACTGTTTTGTTCATTTCACATTTTTTCTTTAAAGTCATTGTAATTTTAACACTATAAAGCACAGCCATTCACTTATGCGCCATTGAATGCTGTATTTTTATTGGCCTACTAAGTCTGGGTGCTTCATGTTAATGATATGTAAACGAGGTGCTGGTAGGCTGGCGCTTGATTTCACGCGCTAAAGCTGATTCATCATTTGTGCTTAAATCTACACTTGTTTCCATGTCGTACGAATGTTTCATGAATCAGACACAGGGAATTTCAAACGTCTTTAAAAGCAGTCAATTCTGCACTCTTTTTACGCACCGTTCATTAATAAGGGCTAATGTTTTTAATCATATTTGAGCACTGTGTAGTCCTATTTAATCTGACTGATTTATTAAGTTAACTGTTAGCAGCAAAGTTAATAGAAGCTAACTAGTTAGCTAAATGAACGTAACAGTTTTGTGCAACATTATTTAGAGTTAGACATCACATTAAAATGATTTTTAGCCAACATTATAACCCAGATTGTAACGGGACAGAACCAGCCAGTCGCTAACAGCAAAAAACGAGAGGCTTTACTTATAAAAGGTTTGACAATACTCGTAGTCAGTAAACAGGCGGTCAAATTGGAAAAGGCCAAAATACAGAGAATGACAAACAGAACAAAAATCAGGCAACAAGATCCAAATAGGCAAAGTCAAGAAGTCCAAAAATACAGTCAAGAAAACTTGAAGGCAATATCACAGATAGAAACACTCAGTACCTCTACGGGGAGACACAATACCTCTCAAAGCCTGGGCTTAAATACTAGGCTAGACGTTTTCGTAAAATACACATAGCAGGTGAGACAGGTTAGGTGAACGGGAACGGTGATTGGTGGATTGTGGACATGTGGTCTCCCAAAGAGTTCTGGGAAATGGAGTCTTTAAAAATGTCACAGCCAGAAGAATGACACAGATAAAGTTTACCTCATCTGAGAGCCACTATAAGTTTGTAGTTTTGAAACTGAACTGTGAGTTTGGTCTTCTATAGAGTTTAAACTTTTTCAGCTTCAGGAATGAAATAAGAACCGCACCTTTCCACCATCTCTTAGTATAATCATTTGGAACAATTTTCTGTCACCGCCGTTCTCACTGCAGCTTTGTTATGGGGAGCTCTATCAGAGCTTGTCCTTCATTTGACAGAGGATGATTGTGATTGGCTAAGAGACATATCATTCACAATACTGTAATTCATAAAATGCTCAGCTGCTTAAATACAACACAGTTGACTCAAACACCATAAAACACTTTCTTTATTCTGTAAAACAAAAACAGTTTTTCTGTATGTCTGAAGGTGCATTTATACTTACAGTTTGGTTCTCTTGGTCCGGACCAAAGCAGAAAATGATACCTTGTTGCAATTTAGCTCTGGTTTGCTTAGCGTGTACACTTATATATTTAGCATTGAACCAAAGATGTAAACAAAAGTCTTATGAGTAAAAGGTCACAACTGACTGGGCAAATGTTATAGTATACAATAACTGTGATAATGCTTACTGAACTTTCTAAATCATGCTGTTCTCTGTTCTACCGGGACTTGTTGGTTTTATTTATGTCTTGTTTGATCTGTCTTGTGATATTAGAACTATAAGCCACAAGATTCCCTGCATTACCTTAGTTTTGCACCATGCATAGCAGGCTGAAATCCCTGTAACAGCCTTCAGTCACTTACTGCTTTTAGAGAAATGTTGCTGCCTTAATACATAGGATAATTTCTATGTGCAGTCAAATGTACACATTGAATATTTTATAATGACTGTAAACATGCCTCAGCCTCGTTTTTAAACCAAAACTATCCATTCGAGAGGACATGACGATTCATTCTGTCTTTGGTCCGTTTAGACATCTTTGGTCTGTATTGCATTCATGCCTCAAACGAAATGCACTAGAGTGGTTTTGAAGCGAACTGAGCCAAACCTGCCCAGAGGGTCTCAGTCCTCTTATTTGGTACGCACCAGAGTTCGAAAGGCAGTGTTCTCACTTGCTCTAATGAACAACACTAACAGAGTAATCCAAACCAAACCTGCCAAGTCTGAACACACAGTTTAAAAGCAGTAAAAATATTTTTTGCATCTTTTTTGCAGGTATTGAGGAAGTATTGCTTCTTGTATACAGACCACCTAAATGAAGACACGTTAGGTTTGGAGCCATCTGAAGGACACGGATGGATCTGTGGTTGTGATTTCTGCTCAAAGGAACGTCATGTTTGGTACATACAGAAAATCCCAGCAGGTACTGGGCCAACCAAAGACACTGAAGCAGTCTCTACTTGGACATGATTGTTCAGTGACATGGAACAAAATATGAACTTAACAGCATTAAGAGCATTTAGTCTCTAACGCTGGTACACTAAACTTGCCATTCCACTACCATGCCAGCCTCACTGCTGTGCTGAATCATTCACCACCCGAATAATATCTGGTCCTCATCATCATCATCATCATCGTTAACCGTGTAATCCAGATAGGGGCGTGGTAGCAGTTGGGAGAGCAGAGAATCCCAGATGACCCTGACCCCCTGGACAGGGCTGTGTAATATCTGGTCCTGGGGTCAGAAACTGACCCAATGCTCTATGCTGTCCCATCACCTGGGGATAGAAAAATACTGCACAGGGAGATATGAAATCGGTTTTGGGATGATAAATTTGCACGTTAATGTCTGCAAAATTTACAGTGATGAAATAATGAACATGCCAGCCAGACAAGTCACTACAAAGCAATGTTTAATGCAGAAACCTTTTTTATGCTTTATAAGTAGGTTTTGCTACAGTATTACTAATTTCCACTAGTCCCCCTTTGGAATTTGCATGGGTAAGTTAGCGTGACACTACTAGTAATAATATATGTTTACATCTGATGGCAGCTATAATCAATACAGTACAAAATGCACAATTCAATGTGCACGACATTACTTTTTCATAGAGATATGCAGAATGTGTGTCAGGATGTAAAGCAAAACCTCTATTACACCGTTATTTTGTTGCTTGATCTCTTCACAGAAAAACACTAGAGGACGATTTGCATTTAAAAGACAAAATACTGAATTGTCGAAACTGAATACAGTCGACCTTGAACTATAATCAACACAGCTATTTTGCTTTCCACAGTGTGATACTCCAAATGTATATGCCTCAGTCAGTGCAGGGCAGTCACGGTGCAAAAAGTGTAATGCAGTATGTCCTCCTAATGTTTTAGTTGTGGTGTTTTAGCAACACTCATTGCTAACAGGTATACAAAATCAAACACATAGCCGTGCATTTTTTCCTTAGACAAAAACTGGCATCGGAATGGGTCGTATTGAAGAGCTCAACAGTAGTTTAGTGGAGGAAGGACAGTGGTCTGGGACTGTGTTTCAGGGTTTGGGCTCGGCCCCTTAGTTCCAAAAGACCTTTTACACAATTATATGCTTCCGAATTTGATAAATATATATATATGTAAGTATATATATATATATATATATATATATATATATATATATATGCTCCACACCTATACATGGTGTTCTGATGAGAGCACCAGCACAAAGTGGGAGCCTGTGTCGTAGCCTTAAAGGTGCGTTTTCCTACTTGCACTGAGTGACCCCCACTATCACTATCACATGAGCCTATGGACATGAAAACAGCAGAGGTGTTCTTCATGAGAGTGCCTTTGGAAAGACCTTGTAAGAAGAACAGTTGTACTTGCTCTCGTCAACAGCCCTTGTGAATTCTTTCTTCTCTTGAGATTGTTTGGGGATGTGGTCTTCCCCTTGAATCTGTTGCGCTTCTTTCCATGTATGTACACATTTAAAGCATCATGTATACAAGAGTATGTCGCAAATAATAACCATAGTTTACCATGTTACATTTTTCCTGCCTTATAATCTTAACAGTTAAAGAGAACAAAAACTAAGACTTTGTAGGAAAAAAACATAGAAAAGCTCCACCACATCTTTTCAGACAGATGCTAATGCGACGCCATTGGAGCTCAACATGCTTGGAGGAGAACGCTAACTTCTAATTCTGTTATGTCAGTTAACAACTGGCATCTGATGGGGTGCTGGAGGACTATTCCCACTGAGAGAGAGGAACAGACAGTTATGCTGGTTTGAACTCTAAGACATGGATGGCTGTGTCACCAGAGATTGATCTCACAATTTTGGGCCACTCGGGAACCTTTATTATAGACTTCTGACAAGCCAGTGCTCCTCATGTGTGTGACTCTTTGTAGCACCATGCAATGCAATTGTAGAACAATGCAATCAGCAATAATGGTTCAGTTATATTAAACCTGCCTTGAATCCAGTTCTAAAAAAATGGTATATAGATTTATGTATCATGTCTATGCATTAACAATACACTTGGGGGAGAACACAGACTGAGGGGACATAGTGGTCTTCCAGTGTGGGTCTGGTCCCTAAACGTCCATTTCTGGATTCTGCATCTTTGCTCGTCCCGTAGTGAGCAGAGTGAAGGTGTGTGTGGTTCTACAAAACTACCTAAAATCCACAGACATGTCTATAGAGGAGAAATGTCATGGTACAAAGCTTCTCATCAACAGTAGAAACCCAGAAAATGGGCTAAAGTTCTTTAAAACACCTAAGGGACGTGTTCCTTAGCAAAACAATAGAACTGGCCTCAGTCTCAGTGTCCTACCAGCAGCACATATTTGAACATTGTGTACAAATGTTTGACATCATGCTATAATACTGTGTATTGTAAAAAATGAGTAAAATGTATGAGTTTCTATGCATTGTTTTTACAAGCAGTAAGTACAGAATTAGACGTCTCATCTCTTCCATCAGGCAAATGAGTGCAATAGTACAAGTAGTATTCCAGTATCCGAGAAGCTACTAAAGTATGTACTATCAGAATGTGTAACTGTTCCGAATGTATAATAATGTATTTATTATAATAACTTCAAACCTATTTATGGGTCATTATGCCATTGTGTCCCACAACTTTTAAGCCATGAAAATGAGCTTAAGAATAATGTGTGTGTATTCTTTGTTGCATTCCTAAATTAATCCTCAAAAACAATTATTTTTACTTGTTAATTTTCAATTCAAATTTTCTTATTTAAACTCACTGTTTAAAGCAAAAAAGACAATAATCAAGTCTTGAATCGCTACCAATTTTAGATGGTAATCAGAGCTGGAGAACTTTCTAAAAGACAGTCCATTGGGCGGCTTCAAAGTTAAGCATTTTCATCTATGATCTCTAAGGCCTTTTTTAAAACAGTGTTAAACCATAGAGATAAGAGTATCAGCGCCCCCTGTTGGCAGGTTATATATTTGAGCAAAACTGAATAAAAGTGTTCTGTAGTAGGACGGCCAAAAGATCATGCAAGAGTGTGTTTTTACACCGAAAATGTACATTAATGACTTGATTGATTGACTGATTGATTAATTGATTGATTGAAAGCCTCCTCTCGCTGCCACACATCTCTCTTTTAGAACAATTGGGAAAATCACTAATGTTCGGTCTTTGATTGAAGCATCTGTCCACCGTACAGCGTCTATGGTTCACTCCATCATCGAGAGTGTGAGTTTGAATCCCACTGGGGCCACTTTGACAAAGAGGCCTAGACAGCCAAGAGACCCAGAGCACATATGATGGCAGCATCACGATAACTAGGGGGTACTAAATGGCTTGTGAGAATTGGTCATGACTAAATTGGCTAAAAAAACAAACAAAAAAAAACAAAAAACAATAATATCAAATGTAACTGTGTTTACAAAAAATATTTAACTGTGTCCGACTGGCAACCTCCTTCATATGACAGTTTTTGTCATTCTTTCAAACTTACGGTCAATGTTTTGCACCCTGTGATGATACTGATACAGTGTCAAGGCACCAGCCAATAAAACCTTCCTGAAAACTTGGTCTTGTGAGATTTTTTTATTTTTTTTATTTATTTTTTTGAGTGCTGCATGACTTGACTGGCCAATTCTTACTGGACAATATTTACCACCCCTTTTTCCTTTTTGCTATGGCCTGTCTCACATATTAACTGCATTCCAAAGTCTAGGCTGCATTTCTCGGCTGCTGTGTCATAGCAGGCCGTTCCAAGGTGAAGGATCCTTTGTATAGAGCCTAGAAATACAGCCTGCGTTCTGAGTGATTTCAAGGACGCATTAGATGTATCCTTCCATGCCTTCGATTACCCATAGTCCTCTGTGCACAAAAAAAAAGCAGCACCATGAAAATGGTGGAAAACAAAGCCGTTGGAGCAGTTTGTTTTAAAATGTAAGTTGTTCACATTCTTGAATTCGTCTTCGTTACCTTCGTTGACTAAGTGTAAAATCACTTAAACTCACAGATTAATTAAAGAATTTGTCCATATATAGCATATCATCCATACATTGTATTTTATTTATAAGTATTTGTATATATGTAGTCTATCATATTACATAAGAATCTCCTCCATTTCCATGAAGAAATGAAAAAGCAACAAACTCCATCCAATGCAACGGGCTCCATTTTCTCTCACCAGTTCCCTCACAAGCTTTGCGCCGGTCTGGTGACGTCACCACGCAGCCTCGTTAGGACTGTTCTATCCTCCGAATTACGAGGTCGTAAAGAGCTATGATACCAGAGAACTTGTAGAGAGGAGAATTCCCACTCTGCAATGTCTTCCGGTTTTCTCAACCGCTAGAGGGCGCTCCAGAGTGAGTCCAAAATGAATGGGTTGATATGGAGCATTTGAGCAAAATCATAGTTTATAAATGCTTAAACATTTTTAATGTAAAAGAATTCGATCATTTCCTGAACACAGAACAGCATAGAACATTTTAACACTGCTCTTACATTTTTAAGAGCTTATAAACTCGAGATATAGGAGTTTAAAACGGCGCCTCATGTACGTTCATGACGTCAGTGAGCGCGAACAACCAATGAGCTGCTCTGCTCGCCAATCAATCATCACTCTCTAGCAGCAATGCCCGCCTCCTGCTGCCCAAAACTGCCTAAAACTCCTTATCAAAAATACTACCCGTGTTAAAACTATGAGGCTGAATTTAGCTTCTTTTTTCGCAGCTTCTTGTTTGAATGTTCCCGTTCCACCTTAAATGGTGCACCAGCTGTGACCACCCAGCACAAACATTAGCAAACGAGATAAAATACTGACCTGTCGGTTCTGTTAAACAGCAAAATAAGATGATGTTACTCAGCTGTTCAGCGGAAATACAGAAACCTCCTCATATCGTGCCTTTCGACCCTTGTTTTTCGCTGGCTGCTTGTTGGAATTTTCCCATTCCCCACTGCTGCAGCACTTAAGGTAGAACAGGAAAAGTCAAACAAAAAGCTGGCGAATGTCCTGATGTCCTCAGAAAAATGTTATCAGCAATAGAATAATAATTAGGATATTCTGAGAGCCTCAATCAGTTTATCAACGGGTGATAACCTGCTTAAGGAGGCTGCCAGTCTAATGACCTGAATTCAGCTTCATCTTACATGTAGCAATATTTCAACTCTTTAACAACCTCGTAATTCGGAGGACCCAGTGGTATTTGAGAGAAGAATGTACACAGGACAAAACGTATCGGGTTCTGAACATTTTTATTTAACACAGGGTGCAATAGAGACGATTTTTCGAAAACCCCATTCATCCTGCCCATAGAGAAATAGAGCTTAGACCCAGAGTTCCTAATATGGGCATAACAACATGGCACCGACTATAAAATGACGACACTATTACACTGGTCTATAGACTACTAAGGAGGAGTCCTTATAGGACAGCCCCACCTTGGCTACAGTCTAGGCTTAAGAACACAGCTATTGTATTGTTCGGCAATACATTTTGAGACATTAGCTGCTTTAGAACCCCTTAAATGGCCAGAATCTGTCAGCAGGTCCAGGAAAGTAGAACTTGGTCAGCCTTATAAGCCTTAATGGGATTTTAAGGGGTTAACTGATTTAAATCTGGCCTCAGAGTTGTCTGAACATGTGTGTGTCCACATTTATCATAGTAAAATGGATCAGAATCAGAGCTTTCTGCATGCTATGGTGTTTTCTATCACTGTCTAAAAGAAGCTCCATGCATATGGTTAATTATGAGACGTAAATATTATGCGTTATTTTGAGAGGGAGTATTTGAGAGCTCAAAGGTTGTAAATGGCTGTTCGGGGCAGCACTACTGTAAAGTATGCTTTTACATTCTCCATATTGATAACGCACCTGTGAGTACTAGAAAACATAAACAACTCTATCATCC